ATTGACTAATGAATGAAAAAACGACCTTTCATGGAAATATTAATACCCTGTATCTCGAAAACGAAGAAAGTTAGGACACATGCTCGTATGAACTTTATTTCCTAAAATATCACAATGACTCACTCCTTGAATTTTTTCGGTGTTATTTAGATACACCCTGTATATTATCCAATTCTCAAATCAGTTCGATTCTAGCTTTGGAGCCCTGAAATAAATTTGATTGGGTTGATAACCATTGTTTCAGATTTATCGTGATTAGATTCTGACTTTGTTATTCTCATTCTGAATATTGAAATAAAGAAGTATCAGATTGTTCCTAGTTTTGTTCTAGTAGCTCTTCAATTCTTTTCGATATATGACCACCTTAATTATTGAAAAAAGTGAATTAACCGTTTAACGTGGGTAACGAATAATCTCTACACATACCGGGTGGCTACGGAAGTATTGCCTACGGAATATCTCAGTTATTGTATGAAGTAGGTTTGTGAAATTTGAAGCGTCGATATAATGACATAAGAGCTAGAATTTGAGCATATTGACATATCGAAGTTAACTTCCGGTCTGACCGGAAGTAACATCAACTTTCTTATTCAGGGGAAACCCTATTTTTTTTTTCTTTTCGCTTTATTCAGCATTCAATTCCCTTTCTAATGACGTATCACAGGTTGGTATCTAACCAGAAACTAGATCAGAAAAAAATTATAATTGAAATTCACCGAGTAGGCCGTGGAAGCAAAATGAAAGCTAAAAATTGAAAAGTTGGCTATGAAAACCATACGTCACTTGATAACAGTTGCTACTACTGTGATATTTTATTTTCATTCGTCGGCGTTATAAAAAGCCGCCAAAAAAAATATTGGAGAAATTGGGAAAAAACAATACTCTGTAGGTCCATAACTTAACTAGGAACATACAACTTTTTCTTGCCTGTACTATTCAGCATAACCATTCCTTTCTAATGATATAATAGAAAGTCATTTTTTGAAATGAAATACCAGAAAATCCAATTATTATTCTTCAAATAACAGATTATCGCCATAAGCAAAAATAAAATTAAAAATAATAAATAGTTTCTGGTTAGATACCAACTTGTGATATGTCATTAAAAAGGGAATTGAATGCTGAATAAAGCGAAAAGAAAAAAAATAGGGTTTCCATTTAAAATAAGAAAGTTGATGTTACTTTCGGTCAGACCGGAAGTTAACTTCGACATGTCAATATGCTCAAATTCTGGCTCTTATGTCATTATATCGACGCTCCAAATTTCACAAACCTACTTCATACAATAACTGAGATATTCTGTAGGCAATACTTCCGTAGCCACCCGGTATATCCCCGAAGATGTCTTCACTTGGTCAATGTGTGAAGGTAGGTTGGTATATTTCTCGCAAGAGGTCAGAGTTCGTAGAACTGATAAATATACTTCTGCTTTTCGTGTTATTTAGATCCTACCTACGATATCTTCTTCTCCGTTAATGTCAGAATTGGTCTCCTAAAGTTCCACATTGAGAGTAAAGAAACCTAAGTCTACTCAAGTCTTTCCATAACTTGAGTATTTCTATTCGTTCAAATATTCTACTACATTTTTTTTATGTTTTCGATAAAACAGGCCACAACCCAGCAAACAATTTTGGTCGGCCTTATGCTGGCCCATAATATGCCAGAATTGGCCAGAACGGCAAAGTTCCTGTAAACATTGATGGGCCAGTGCCAATAGGAGACTCTGGCCGTCATCAGGGCCAGTACATGTCTGCTGATACAATCAATTAAAAAAAAGACGACCGCCACGGGATTCGAACCCTGGTCCTCTGCTATCACTTGGTTACAAATCGAACTTATATTCCAACTGAGCTACTACACTTTTACTGAAATGATATGTGTGTGCGGAGTTTTTGCGGTCAAATTTCGAATAGGAATATTTCATCAATAATTATCATCATCATAACAGATATACAGTGCGTCCATAAAGTAACGCATAAATTCATTATTGGCTAAATGAACAATAAAATTAGAAATTCCCGAAACGGGTCGATTTTTGATTTCAATTTACTATTGTTTCAAATCATAATCTAATATACAGGGTGAACCACTTTCGTGTAATGACGTCATCACCATTTTTTCCAAATGGAACCCCCCCTCCTTTTTTTTCAATTTCCAAATTGCCTTTGCTGAGCTGATTCCAAAAATGTATAATATGTTGCTTCAAATTGGTATAGGGTGGGCAAAAATGCAAAAATTTACTTACAAAGTAATAAAAATAATGAATAATCGTAATAAACACATTAAATGAAATTACGTATTGTACCGTTATACAACTACTTTGATGAACTATCAAGAACATCCAGCATTATTCTTAATAATTGTATCTTACAGCTTTTATTAGTGATCCAAGCCCGTGGACTATAAAAATCTTTTTGTTTGGATTATCTTTTACCATTTTTTTAATTTGACAAAACTGTCAAAAACATTGAAGCACAGTTTCGTATTGTTAACGCTTTAGAGAAGGTACGTTCGTGAACTTTTTTTACAAAATGCCTTTAACCGAAAGTGACAGGATTGAAATATTAATGATGATTGGTATTGGCGATAAGATGCGGACTCAACAAGAGGTATGCTGATTATTCCATGAAATGCACCCAGATCGTGAACCTATTTCACAATCTACGGTAAGTAGAATAGAGCGAAAATACAGAGAATTAGGACATGTGAGGGATGCAGCAAAGCAAGGTAGACCAAAAATTGATGAAAATATTCAACAAGACATAATTTTGTCGGCTGTAGAAAATCCACCTGTACAGTGCGAGGATTATCTAGGGATTTTGGTATTGGAAAGTCTCCAGTATCAAACATTTTTAAAAAGGTAAAATACCATCCTTATAAAGTACGTCTCATCCATGAATTGGCTGAAGACGACTTTGACCGAAGAACTGAATTCTGCGAGTATATGATGAACCAAAATAACAATATCATTGATGATAACGTTTTATTTTCGAACGAGGCAACGTTTCATTTGAACGGTCATGTTAACCGGCAAAACACCCGTTATTGGTCTGATGAAAATCCACACTAGATGCAAGAGTACCATACTCAAAGACCACAAAAAACTAACGTATGGGCTGGTATTGTGAGAAATACAATTATTGGTCCATATTTTTTTGATGAAAACATAACAGGAGCATTATATCTGGATTTCCTACAAAATACATTAATTCCTGATCTGATCCAGCTTTTTCCTGATATTCAAATACCCACTAATGTAGACCGCAGAATCTGGTTTCAACAGGATGGCGCACCGCCACATTTCGCAGTAACTGTGCGCGATTTTTTAAACACAAATTATCCACAAAGGTGGATAGGAAGAAGGGGACCAGTGGAATGGCCTGCTAGATCACCTGATCTGAGCCCACAAGAGTTCTTTTTATGGGGTTATTTAAAATCTAAAGTCTACTTAAACAGACCTGGAAATATCCCTCAACTACAAGACCGAATGAGACAAGAAATGCAGAGCATAACACCCGCTATGCTGCAGAATGTTAGAGACGAAAGTAATGCCCGGTTCAGTCATTGTCTAACGGTCAATGGAGAACAATTTGAACATTTATTGTGAATTTTCGTTTGTTTGTTTGTTTGTTTTTGAAAGTGTATCACATTAATTGCATAACTACATAATTCCATTTAATTTGTTTATTACATTCAGTACCGTATTACTTTTCATAAACAATTTTAATTTTTTTTTGCATTTTTGCCCACCCTGTACCAATTTGAATCAACATATTATACATTTTTGGAATCAGCTCAGCAAGGGCAATTCTGAAATTGAAAAAAAGGGGGGTTCCATTGATGACGTCATTACACGAAAGTGGTTCACCCTGTATGTTAGATTATGATTTGAAACAATAGTAAATTGAAATAAAAAATCGACCTGTTTCGGGAATTTCTAATTTTATTGTTCATTTAGCCAATAATGAATTTATGCATTACTTTATGGACGCACTGTATACAAAAGATGAACAAGAAAAAACATCCGATTCTCCGATTAAGTACCGAATTTCTGTAATATCTATTTTATGAGTCAGATGACTTGTCTATTTTTTTTATGGACGAATTTGATGACTTTCACGATAATATTTGAATACAAAACGGCAGAATAGAACGGTGGCTGCGCGCTCGTCTAGAAATTAGAACGCCGAAGTTTCTTAGGTTCGATTCCTGACAGAGCAGAGAAGTTTTATTTATAAAAAAGAATTATAATTTTCGTAGCCTCGGCGGGAGTTGATTCCGTACGATTCGCTGTTGCGTTCCAATCAACAGTGCTGCTTCTTACGTGGCGTATAGAGTAACAAAGCCTACACAGAACACACATGAGCTCAAGGACCTCTCGTGAGGTGGATGGCCAGTTGGTATGTACATACATACATACATACCAACGAAGTAGGTAGGCTTTGTTACTAACTCCATACGCCACATTAGGAACAGCACTGTCGATTGGGACGAAACAATGCGGAATCATCTCCGGACGAGGATACGAAAATCATAAATTATTACATGTTAGATTCTAGTCTGAACTGACTGCCCAAATTGTGCTTGACTGTTCGTATAATTGTGCTTTTTGCCGGCCATCAGATTTGCGCAGCTGCACCCAGTCTTCGAGGAAGTGATGAAATCATCAGTGGCGGGTTCTTGAAAGCTAACATTCGTCTCTGTGAAATCAAACCGGCGTATCTGCAGAATTACTATTTATCACCATAGTGTTTCAAAGTTTTTAAACTCGATTATTTCTTTATATCTACTTGGTCTTTCTTTCCAGAGATAACTTTTTTGTGCATAAAATTGAGTTCGGTTTTGCTTGTAACTGCATCGGTGGCAAATAACTAGAAATATTTCTGGTAGCAGAAAAATTTGCAAATATGGTTATAATTTGCAAAAGTGCCTGGATTATCTGCGAATAAGCCACACTTGAGGTCACGCATGTGCAGATTAGAGAGAGTTGACTGCTCATAAAGATACTGATGAATCCCGCCAAAATTCAAACCGGCACAACCCTACCTGACGAATCACAAGCATACAATACATATGTCGGTTTGACTTACTCAGAAAGGAGAAAGAAATTAATTTCTTGATACCAATAACTCAAAAATGCGTTTTTTGCCGATATGTCGGTTCGATTTTACAACGACGATATATAAAATTCTTTGCTCTTCTGGGGATTCGAACCTAGCAACTTTTCGATGTACTGATTATTAGTCGAGCGCCTCAACCACTGCGCTATTCCGCCGTCCTAAAAATTAGATTTTTCAATTGAAACTGAAATATAATCATACTCAATTTGGCACAGTGGCGGTTAGATTATAGTTGAACGATTTCAATATGCCATATAATGGGTAGATGATTGTATGACGTAGGTAAAACCATAAAACGAATCGACACTATCGGCCCAGTGCCGGCTGAATTATAGGCAAACGATTACAATATGCCATACAATGGGCATACGTTTGACCAGCGCAGCTTGGTCTGCCGATCTATCATGTACTGGGCCAGAAGACAGCCAGAGATTTGATGTTTGCGGGGAGCTTTCAGGGCTACCTGGCAAAATTTTTGAATTTTTGACTTTGACATGCTCCTCACGTTTTAGTAGGGCCAACTGGTAAGATTGAAAAAGTTAGCCCTCATTTCAGCAAATATACTTCAAAACTTACTATCATTTGTGCTTCTTTTTTTCCACAGATTTTCCAGCTCCTTTCATAGAGTTAACCCTATCTTTGAATCTCCTCAATGACTGCTGCAACATCCTTATTTTCTTGTTCTGGCTTGTAATTTTTTGCCTCATGATCCTGAAATTCCTGATGGCTTTTCGGTGTGTCGAGAAATCGCTGCTCGTCATGTCTAAAACTGACTTCCTCACTCTTTTTCGACTTCTTCTTTTGTTTCCGATCTGTTCACATTCTTCTTCACTTATTGTTTGAACAAACTCATTTTCTGAGGCAGACAGTGTATTCGATGAGTCAGATTCACATTCATGAAAATTTCCACAACAATTCCTCTTCCTTGAAGAAATTATGTCTAATTTTTTTTGGGATTTTCTCTTTTCTTCCCTATACCTATATATGAAAATAAGTTTACTATTTAGTTTAGATTACACAGCATGTGGCTCTCGGAAACAGCAAGTAGATACAAAATCGGGTAGAAATGGGAAGAAAGTTGCGTATTCACAAGGTAATTCCAATAATCTTGGGTGTCTCCGTATATTTTGACCACTACCTCCAGCTTCAACTATAAGAGGTGGAAAAATACAACAGATATGAAAGTTATAGGATTTCATCCGAGATTTCATCCGAATTATCTTTTGACATTCCTCAAACGAACAGATGCGAATCGCAAAATGTGCATTTTCACTCTAGTGAAATATATTTTTTTTTCTTCACAAATATGAGTGAGCACATGAAAGTTGGAACAAATTAATTGGGAGAAAAAAGCTCAGACATGTCAATTATCTTTTTCAGATGCGCATTATTTGTTGTTCTAATCATATTTTTGATGACGTCATCTTCCTAAATTTCTTCTATTTTTTGCAAATAATATAATACCACCAATATTGTACATGCTTCGAGCCCATACAGGATTCATCCTCAGCGAATAGTGAGAATTCTACAACAGTATACAGGGTTAAAACTATTCAACACTTTAAAGTACAGTTACTCACATGAAGATGTTTTTTTCAAATTCCAAAGAAAAAATGTCATCAGTTTCACTGACTCTCAGTGAAGCTGATGACATCGCATACAAAATTCAATATCACTATGTTCAATGTCATCAAGAGTTGTTATGGAAAAGTATTTTCAGTTTTTCTGTATCTCCAATAATAACGTGAAAAAAGTTTAACAGATTTTCAAAAATTTAATTTTTTTCGATGTAACTGGCGAACTATGAATGATTATGAAAATCGTCGAAGACTGTTGGAATGACTATCTGAATAGGAAATTTATTGCCATTTACCAGATTTTGTATCTCTTACTTTTTCCGATGCAACCTCATCTTGGTCACACTGTATGAATGAGAATATTAGTACTATTTCTATATATTATTATGTATAGTGAGGACAAATCAGCGTGTAAAACATTTCACTATTAGAATTCCTGAGCGAAATTTAATTGATAGTCAGTGACACCTAGTTTTGGACAATGTTTGGAGAGACATATTATAAATACACTGAAATAGTACTCATTCTTTTTTTATCTCCTGAGAAATCTAGAGGAATAAATATAGAATGGAATGAAAATTTTACTCACACTTTTTTTATAAAATCTGGAAAATAAATTCTCCTAATATTTTCTTCAAAATTAGAATCTGATGAATCTGTTTCCATTCTGGAAAATGAAACTGCAATTAAATGAATATTTATACACTCCCCGACAATGAATTCCGAACAAGGATAATTTCAGTTCAGAAAGTTTCAGGTAACAATAACTTCTTTATTTCTTTTCCGATTTAGTGAATTCTTTAGCAGAGTATGGAAATTCAACTCAGAATGTTATTATTAATTTGAGGTCCCGAAAAATACTGATGACACGACCATTATACGAGAAGAAACAAAAAATCTTTCTTTACCCTCGAATATTATTTTCTCTGTAGAAGAACTGAGCGAAAAAAAATAGTTTCATCATAATCTGATATAAAATATGAACTCTTACGAAACTTTATTTGATTCATGTCAATATCAGCTTTGTAAGTGAGGATACAAGTTTTTTTCAGCAGTTTTTCAATTATTTCAACTCTATTAGGCTGAAGATGTTCTTTTCTTACATCGAAACATGTTCCTGAGTTTATAGCAACCTTATTATATTATTGTGGAGACGACTGTTTGCATTCCTTCTTCCTTTTGAAACATTTTCACTTCACTTTGAGCAATATGGATTTCTAAGAAAGATTATATCAAAATATCAGAACATTACATTATCTTGTGGCCAATCATCACATGGGGCCTGGTATCATGGTTAGTACAATTAAAAAACTGCAGACGTGAATAAGAAAAATTCAAAACTCCATATAAAAACATGATGAAAGTAAATTTTGCCGCTCAATTTTTCTACAATGGGTTAGGTATTTGAGGATCAACAATTACCTTCGGTTTCTCCCTGTATAACGGTCAAGCCATCATTATTTATCGAGAATTGAAATTAAGGGTAACATAACGACACTAATATCAATAAGCTGCTGAAAATTTCTCCAAACCGGAAATCAATTGAAAAAGTTGTGGCCGACTAAAATTAACTGAAAATATTTTTGCCCGGAATTTAATGTTGGGGACGTCGAGCAAATATCTTAGTGTGGAAAAATGCATCACACATCATTATGAAATAATAATGCTCATTGTTTTCACCTGGGTTCGGAGATTGGATCTGGTTCAGATACTGGAGCATTCTCATCACACAAGGAAAAAGAAACACCATCTTTTTTGAATATTGATTTTCCATTCGTTTTCAGCTCGAACTCAACATTTTTGAAATTGGTTGAACACATACTAGCATAATTGGAATGGGATAGATTTCCTCTTACACCTGCTTTGTTTAATTCATCAGCATCTTCGTTACTCACTGCTTGAAACCTTCAGAAAAAAACAAGAATCATAATAACTTGTTTTAAAAAAATCATTTACAACAACTCATTTAATTCTGACTTTGAACTCACTCATCTACTGAATTGGTGATAACATCAACTTTCTCCTCAAATTCAATATCCTCCTTAATAACCAAATTCTCCGTGATATCAATATTTCCCTCAGAACCAATATTCTCCTCGTATTCATCAAATGAGGCTGTATCAGTTGATGAACCTCGTGATGGTGGTCTGTTGGAAATTGATTCCAATCTAGAAAAAAAAACCATTGGTCGACTAAGGCATTTGGAGAAAATCAAGTACAGGTGAATTAGGAATTATCAGTATCACTTTCACCTGTTGGATTGCCTATTTACATTTTTCATTCAGTTATTTTTTGCCGTGAATTGATATTCGAATTTACCGCGATACCGACAAACATGTCCAGTAGCTACTTAAATAATACAATGCTGGAGAGAGAGAGGGAGAAAACGTCTATTAAGGTGGGAACAGACCAAGCAAACATTGTTGTGCAACAGTGGAACAACACTCGAGAAACACACAAGTTTATAGTTTATGCAAAGTCAGTTGGAAAATCACATCACCGTAAGCCGTCGGTCCCTTTGAAAGTTCAGAGAATGCGGCAGCGCGGCCCGACATTCGTTTGATCACAGTATATTATCCTTATCCAGGCCGGCGTACCTCAGTGCTTCGATACTTCAATATCGATTCACGTCGAGGTATCGATCGTGGGTTCGAGTCCCACGAACGCAGACTTTTTCTGATGGCCTAAGGAAGTGTTTGGGATCACACGTTAAAAGGTAAGGCCTCCGTCATTCCTTGCTCGCACAAGACTTTCGAAGACTTCTGATGGTTGCTCGTAAGGGGGCAACCGAATGACGGATAGAACAATTTAGAACAATTTTTCACGAGAAAGGATAATATACTGTGGTTTGATGATCTGCACAGTGTGTACGTGTTTGGCCGTGGGCCCACCATGTACTCACGGCGTCGGGGTGGGGGTAGCCCCAGGTGACTCCAGACACCACTGGTTAAAAGCTTGAGGTCCCCACTCTTGTCATGGTAGCGATACGTGGGAAAGGCCGCGAACGGATACCCATCAAAGGGGACTGGAGGATTCTGGTCGACATGGGTAGCTGGGCTTGCTCAGCGAAAACTGGAACTCTGGTGTACCTTGTGCTTTAGTTCGCCAGTCATCGTAGGCAAAGCCGGGTCCTCTCCTGTGAACGAGGTAGATGAACGTGTGAAAGTCCTCGAACGATCACTCATTCAACGGGACGAGAAGATTCTTGTCAATACGAGTAGCAATCAGGCCAAGGCCTCTTGCGACGGCGACCCATCAAACGTAACAAGAGGAATCTTGTTGACATGGGTACCTGGGGTGATGAGGATAGCCCCATCAGGCCGTACATACGGCCTGGTGCCTCGACAATTGGGTTGGACTCCAGGGGGCAGCGGTTTCCAAAAAAACACCACCGGACTACGGTAGAGGAGGTGAAGAAGAATCCCACTATGGGTCAAGTGGGAGGATATCTTGCCTGCCTCGGCGGGCGAGCAGCGTTTTCTGCTCGGGCACTGACACTGCAGAGCCAGTAGTCTGTCTTATCAGACTACTGGCTCTGCAGGCCTCACCATTGGTTTAATGAAATGGTAGCAGGAGAACATGCCGTTACATGACGGAGATGGCTCTAGCGCGCTGATTCGGCGTATCCAAATTCTCCATTTCTCCCTGGGGCACAAACAAAGCAGCTGTTGCCGAACTGATGGTCGGTGTTCGCTCCCGAGGAGGTGAAGTTCATGCAAAGTCAATTGGAAAAGCACATCACCGCAAGCCGTTGGTCCCTTTGAGAGTTCAAAGAGTGCAGCAGGGCGGCCCGACATTCGTTTGATGATCTGTTCAACTGGCTTTGCATAAACTTTACTCCAAAGGAGAGTTGGCCACAGTATATTATCCTTTCACGAATGTGGCCAACAGTGCGCACACAGCGTCTGCAGTGTAGACGCGTATACAATTTTACAGTTTAATAAGTAGTTCATTCCCATTCGAGCTGTTTGAGTAGTGAGACGAATCGTATCGGAAGAGTATTCATAGGTTATTGAAATGTCGAACTGGACTGAAGAGCAAACTCTGATCTCTTCGAGATACTGTCATTTTCATAACTGAAAACGCACACCACGCCAGTAGAGCATCTTCTTCATCGCTCATGATGCCTGACTGAACAAACACTGGACAAACACCGGAGAAAGCAGGCTGGTCGATGTTCCCAACAGTTGCCTACCTGCTGTTCAACTGTTGCACAACAAGGTTTGCTTGGTCTGTTCCCACCTTTGGAGTGCAGCAGTTATTCGAAAAGTATCATTGTTTATCCCCTCTCTTCACACTAGTGTATCATTCATGTGACGATAATACTTCTAGACATGAATAGAGTCGATGAAAGCGCGCCAGCGACGTATCATAAATGTTCATGAAGCGGTTGTTGGTACGTATAGGTACTTAACTGATACTCTACTAGGACCAAATCTGCGTCCAAACCATTGAAAACAAAGTCGATGATTCAACTCCACTATTGTTTGTACAGTTTTTTATGTACTTTGCCAGTAAAATGTTCGGATTTTGTCACACGCTTGTCAGTATACTGTGCAACTTCCATTGGCAACACTTATTGTACCATAGTTCACTTTTTATTACCTTGGCTGTGGAGCTGTATCAGGTGCTGCTGGTGGAATAGTGTCAACAATCAAAATATCAGGAGCAGCTGCTCCTCTCCTTAAGACTGTCTTTCCTCCACCTGCTCCATCTTGTTTGAAATGCGTGGAACATATTCTAGCATACTTAGGAATGCATGCATTTTTCCTCAGTGAGAACGATTTCAACGAAGCCTCATAATCACACTGGTCCGCTGGAAACCTACATGGAAAATTGAAAGTGAAGTATGTTTTCCTGGAAATTATTTTGTTCACCAACATTTTATTTAGTTCAATCAACGAACGCCAACAAAGGTCGAATTGGGGAGAAAACTCGTGTGGTCGCAAATTTTCGTACAGTGGTTGAGGGAAGTGTCATGAACAACAGCGTTTGAATGTCATTTTTCCAAGTTGTTCTTGAATAATTCGAAAACCACGACCTCTTGCGAAAAAATTAAAGTGAACAAAGTTGAACAAAAACAAATTTCCTATAGAAAAGTTTTTATTAGTTTTTCGTCTGTAATGGATAGTTTCTGAGATACAGGAGACGGAAATGTTGTAACAAAAATAGAGTTTTTCTACTCACATAACTAAAATGGCATTCAGCGTACGGATATGTACCACGCTAAATGATCGATTAATCACGGATTGTCGATCTGTGATTTATTCAAAATATTAAACACGTTACCATGGCAACACGATTTCTTAAACACATTACCATGGCAACACAGTTCATTAAACACAGCTCCAGCTATTTGAGACATGTCTGGCCTGTCAATTGTATTAACTGTCAACTGTTATTTTCAAATTTTGTATGAGAATTATTCAAACAATTTTCGTTTGTAATGAAGTCTTCATTAAAAATATATGCGACATTTAGACGAAAGTGAAATCGAAGAGAATGTTCTGGTACTTGCATATCTCCAAGAAGTGTTAAAATGAAGCATCTATCTTTGAGAACAATTTATTTATTCTGCGCTAAGCATGACAATAAACGTGAAACAAAGGTTAGTATAAGCAATGGACTGGACACATTTACAACCAATATCACTTATACGTGTCTCGCTGGTTGCATGCAGTTGCATGTAATATGTTCTCAATTCCCATTCCTTTCGAATTATTTTGTAGGTTAGCAGGAATTGCAGGTATGTTAATGTAATTTGCGGAGTTCGTAGAAAAATCATAGTATGTAACGCGTTTATAAACTCTTCTAGGCACTCGTTTATTAAACACTCGCTCCGCTCTGCTCCGCTCGTGCTTAAAATACTCGTTACTAAAAAGGACGTTTATATCACTTGTTACATAATATACTATTATATTGAACTGAATATTTTTTACCTCTCAACGATCCCAGTCATGTTCATGACGGAGGTTATGTCATTCTCGATGTTGGCACAATCAACAGAAGAGGTCTCTGCTGAGGTATTTTCTTTAGCATTACGTGACACCAATGATGGAATGGCTCCTTTACAGATTGACGGTCTCCATCCTGACTGAATTATATGGTTCGGGGAAAAATGAGCAGAGCAAATAAAAGTACATTTCGGCAAATTACTCATTTTCAAATTAAGGTTTTCACACCACAATTGGGCAACCTTCCTATTGGATGGCATCCTGAAAAAAGACTCATTTTACCATGATATTATTACTGATGTCAATGAATGTGTCAAGCAATAAAACTAGGTGAGATTGGAGGAAGCAGGATATCATCTCCAAGGTCAAGTAAGGTGTCAGGACAATGAAAATTTGAATGAAGTGTGATAAATTTATCTTTCCCCTCATTCCTCGCTCCTGGATTGATGTTAGTTATTTATACAAGGAGAAAAGTATTAGATTTTGGCTCGAGGTTGTGTTGTCTCCCGATGCGTAGCGGTAGGAGACAAAAAACCGAGAGCTACAATCTAATAATTTTCCGTGTAGAAAACACTATTTCCTCTTGTGACAGGAAAAACGACGATTCAATATTGAGATGAAATTACATTATGATAAAATATGGAAAGTATCGATGTTAAATTTGAAGTTATTAACTGGTATAGGCTGCGACGATTACACCTGTGTTGCAGGCATCTTTTGTAGGCATCCTCATTGTTTCTATGGAAACCTTCTGAAGTAATAGAATATCTATCAATTTAATTCTGTGATTTGATAATGAAAAATTGCGAACTTTGTGATTGTTTAGTAATTAGCGAAACCGCGAGGTGAAAGTGAAGATAAAAAGGACTTGCAGTTCTTTCTCGGAGACGGTGTTATTGGCTTATTTTTCGGAACTGGCACAACAAAAGCCATCAACAATGCCCCTAAAAAAAGTGATTATATGAAGAGTGACATTTTGTAACCAGTCAGGAGAGATGAAATGTCAAACTTTTTTCCCGTCACAGAAATGCACGGGCCTTGTCCTCGAGCCTTGTGTCTCATGACATGAGATGTTCGAGGCACTCTAGTTGGAATTATCTTTCATAATAATATTCACTTACCTATGGAAAGTTTCTTTGGTATCTGAGGTCTGCTTCAGCTTACAAATTAGGCACATTTTCCCCATGTTTCACGCACAATCACTGGAGCAATTTATTATCAGTCAATCAGTTGATAAAAATTATTCGGAGGAAACAAGTAAATAACGTCTCGAAGCACACCAACTCACAAAGAACACACAAGACGATGTAACCACATCAATAATTGTTATTTATTATACAAGGGAAACAAGTATTAGATTTTAGCTCGAATCCGAGAGCTAAAATCCAATATTTTCCCCTATATAATACACTATTTTTTTCTGTGACAGGAAAAACGACGGTTCAATATTGAGAAGATATTACATAAAATATAATCAAAAAATTATCGATGTGTTCGAGGTTCTCAACTGGTAGTACACCTGTGTTGCAGGCATATTTTATTGTTGCTATGGAGACCTTCTGAAGTAATCGAATATGTGTCAATATAAATCGGTGTATTGATTTTGAAAAATTGCGAACTTATGGTGAATTTATGCAGCAGTTTTAAGTCTTTACCTACGGCCACTATAGAAAGTATGTAAGAACACAAGAGATACAGCCTCAGAAAGTAGCTCTTTACGCACAGTAAGCACATCGCAAAGTTTTCGTTTATTCCGCCAGTATAGATAATTATGTCATGATCGCGTAATCGCCGGAACTGATGTCAAGAATTACGTACTCATGAAATTACTTTGGAAACTTTTCCATTCGTGCGTAATATGCTTCTACACACATATTACGTAATATACTAGTAGTTTCAAGTCGTAAGTTTTAAGTCACAAATTTCAAGTCGTGAGGAGCAAATGGCGATTTATGCTTCAATATTTTTTTATTATTATCAGCAGTTATTAATATCTGTTTTGGATTTGATCTGATTTGAACAAATGTAAACAAAACCAAGATCACTTACAAATGGTATAGCGCACCGCTCATGCGCAGAGAAATTTATTCATAAGTTTCAAGTCGTAAGTCGTAAGAGATGAATGTTGGCCAACTTTTCTTATTACTTAAAACTTATTACTCTGTTTATGATACGTGTATGAACGTTTATATTGAAAAGCAATTAAAGACTGAACTTCCCGAGGAATTCCCTGAGACTTATGACTTAAAACTCAAGACCTAAAACTGCTGCATAAATCCACCTTTAGGGAAACGTAATTTACGTAACAGCGAAGTTGAATGGAAGATAAAAGGACTTTCAGTTCTTTCTCGGAGACGGTGTAATTGGCTTATTTTTCGGAACTGGCAGTACTGGCCCAACAAAAGCCATCACCAGTGCATCTATACAGGGTGTCCCGAAATGAGCATGCCGAACTTCATCTGCGGCTTCTACAACCAAAAATAGAAAGACAAACTTTAATGAACACATGAGTCGAGTAAGGTCTCCCGAGATGTCTACTATATAAGGGAGCTACGGCACCATGAGAGGGGACTATCCTGATGATGATATTTCTTGAATATTCACGAAACGCCATGTAATGGGACTACATTGAATATTGCAGAGACTTTTTAATACATATACATATTTTTCGACAAATTAATCTCGAATTATGAAAATCTACTCCGTTTTACAAAAGAAAAATGCTCCTGTTTTCATCGATCAGAAGTAAAGTTTTCGAGTTGTATTGTCACATTCACATTTTAGGCATTACGTTGCCAATCTACAAATCATAGTGCGGCTATTAAAAAACAAAAAACACAACTACTATATTTTCACCAATGAATCTCATAGAAGCGCGTGAAATAATCAATTTTGATGATAAAAAGCTTCTTCAATTGTTTTGCATATTTTTCCATATCCACTATGATTGATTGCAATGTTATGCATAATATGTAACAATATTTTCACATCGATTTTACTCGAAAATGTATCATTTTTCTGTGAAGAGGTGTGGATATTACAAGGGATTTTCATATTCCGATATTTAATTGTAGTCTCACCCTGTATTATACACTCCTGAATGAAAATTTTGAATGATTTCATGTTCATCGCATTGGGCACGGAAAGTATAATTCTTGTGCTAAATTACATCATTTTATCACGTGGCGTTTCGGAAATATTCAAGAAATATCATGTGGCCGTAGCTGCCCTAGGAGACATTTCTGGGGCCATGTTCCTTGAAACTTTTCTTCCTATTATTGATCGTAGAAGCCGCTAGTGAAGTTTGGCAGGCTGATTTCGAGACACCTTGTATATCCGGGATAAAAAGTACTCACTTTCTCCCGTGGGAAAAAAGTAATTTATGAAGTGATGTTTTGTAACCTGTCAACAGAGATGGAATGTCAAACATTTTTCCCGTCACAGAAAAAACTGTTTACGATCTCTTCCAGTTTCACACCTATTCAAAAACGTAATCATCGGTTTCTGTTTACATTTCAGCGACAAGGTATATTTATTTTATGATACCCCACAGTGACGCCTATGAACCATAACTTGAAATCAAAATCAAAACATGAATTCGTGAAGACAGACTTATCGAAGATGAGTTTTGGGTACATAAACTTTGTTTTCCTGCAGTACAAGCACTGTATCACCATTCAAGATATATTGAGAAAATTTTATAAAAACTAAATAGGTAGGCATAACAGTGAAAGGCCTGAGAACGTTTTATGTAAACACAAATAAACCACAAAGTACAGAAACCTACAGAAACAAACACATTTCCTCAAACCACACAGAAAGACAGAAACTCTGGTTCGTTATTACAACAACAAGCAACAAAAATGGACGTCAACGTCGACATCAAAAAAGAAAACAAATAACAAACAGTCAACCATCGTCAAATCGTCATCATATCCATAAATCTTCTACTTCTCAGTGTTGCCAGGTTGCCACGAACTTTTTACCATATCATACATGGCGCCGACCCAAATTATATACAAATTTCATACAATAATGAATCCAAGCAATTTTCGTTTAAAAAAAGTGATTTTCATTCTGAATTTCGATAAACAATGCTGATATTGCTGATAATAACCTTAGATGATTTGAGACAATTTGTTTTAATGTATGCGAAATGATTCGAATAATACCTATTTATGAAACTTACAGGTATGCAACTAGTGCTAGCACTACATTAAGCCGCTTATCCATTAGGATTATGATTATGAAATATTCGAAAATGGTAATGATAATAAATGAACTGATACTCTGATACCTACATGACAACAAAACAAATCGTTTGACGTATGACGTATTCAGAAATGGCACAATACGGCAACACTGAATTTGAGCACTGCTGTGCAGCGTTGCCAGAGCTACTCCGATTGGAGTAGATCTACTACTTTTAATCGTATCCTACTCCGCTACTCCAAATTACTGATTTCTACTCCGATCGGACGTAGGGGTGAGTCACGAACAGTGCCATTACACTCAGTGCAGATACGATAAGATTCTGTCTAGACTTCTCTAGACCACATAGTTTAATGTTATCAATGACAACACAGAGGAGTTATCTCTGGCTTAACCTAAATCTAATTATTCTCTTATTTTTTTGAACGGGACGTTTGGGGTTGGTTTGAGGTGAAGGCACGGTGGATAATGGCTGACTCAGCTGGGCGATCGGAGTCAAGTGTCAAATGTCATTATTGTACTTATTATAGTTTGTACTTTAACCAGTTTGTAGTAGTAAGGGAAGGGAAGTTGTCTTGAGGTCAAATCATGGATGAACTTTTCATGTTCATGAACTTTTCCATCTATATTCAATCATGGACAAGGGGGTCTTTGTTCCTAGTTTTTAGACTTATGTTTTATGTAAGATGACTACAATGACTCAATAAATCATGTTTTTCATCATGGTGTTCTAACAGCATTCTCAATTTCTCACATAACTACATTCATATTTTGCCCAACCTAAGAACATCATTACTGTATATATAATACTAATGAATTTACTTCATTATCAAATGCTATAATTTTTGCGGGTACGCGGGTAAGAGACTCCTTCTGGTTTCGGTTTTGAAACTACATTCGCTCACAATGACATTGACAGCTGAATAGGGAGATGAAAGATCCTTGATCAGTACTACACTCCGCTGTAGTCAGAATCTAATCCACTTATAATCCCAAATCTACTACTATTTTTCGGCATGCTGTGGCAACACTGCTGCTGTGCAGTGCTAATCGATTACTTGCGCCGTTGTCGGATGAACAAGACGACAATACACTTTACAAAATGATTTCATTGTTATCATCGAAAAATGACTTACATTCCAACACCAAAACGATTGATACCTGATTTTCATGCATGAACATAGTAGAAATGTAGTTGATACTGAATTGATAACGAATTCAAAATACGATTTTGGTTGGATTACGGTCCAAGACAATGAATATGATGAAGTTAGAATTATAGATATGGCAACACACCATATCGCATACTAACTGAAGGTTTGATAGGCAGAAATATGGCACCCAGAGTCAGTGCCGTGTAGTTTGAAGTGGGATTAAAATGTAAATAGAAGGAAAAGACGTTTTATTTCAGCGCATGTAGACATGTAAAAAACAGAGAAAAAAGTTTCGATATTGCGCCGTCTCACCCATTGAGCATATCGTGGGTCATCTGACGTAATGAAGTATCTCATAAAAATCGGAATTTGAGATACTTCGTCAAGTGACTGATATTCTTCTACTCTATCTATCTATCTATCTATCTATCTATCTATCCATATGGCTAAATTTATCAGTTTGCTCCAAGCTATATATTTAAGGAACGAAATTATTTTCCAAATACTTCAGTCCACTGGGTTTGCGTACAAAATTCCCATCTTTATAGTGTGTTGAACAAAAACGGGAATTTGCTGAAAATCATTTTTTTTGAACTTCTTAACAAAGTTTGATCAGTGCCTATAGTAAACATTTCCCCAAGAATCCAGTATGTAGTTCAATAGAATCAACAGTATATAGGTAATATCGAATACATCACCAAAAGATATGGTTATCTCAATAATAAATTATGTCGAATCCAAAATGATGTCGATGTTGATACAACTATTAACATTTTGTTGATTTGACGAAATCAATTTTGATAAGAATATATATCTTTGAAACAACATGAAAGTTTTCTCATTCCGAAGTAGTAATGAACTCATTTCGAAAGGATTATTTGCTTGAATAGAGCAACGACATAATTTTGTAATTTCACCTCGTCTACGCCTGCCTCGAATATATTATATACGTGAAGCTTGAGCCGGAATAGTTTTGCATCAGTTGAAGAGAAGTAAAGACTGATGGAGATTTATGATAGAAGTCGACCAGTTCCCTAGTTCAGCTTATTCTATTGAATAAATTGAATTGAATAAATTGAATATTGAATCTCAGAAAATTTTCGAATCAATACTGAATTTGGTTCAACAAAACAATTTGTCAAATGGAAATACAGTTTCTCTTGAATCAAACAAATATTTCACTGAATCAACCAAATGATTCATTGAATCAACCAAATGTTTCTTTGAATCATCCAAATATTTCATTGAATCAACTTAATAATTGATTGAATCAATATCTTGTTATTTTGAATCAAACAAAATGATTGTTTGAGCCAATTCAATATATCTTCATGAACAATGCATGAATGTGATTTATTGAATAAGATACAGAGTTCATGCGAGACATATTTACTTGATTCAAACTTCGAATTCGCTCTGAAACAAGATCTAGATAACATTTTGTCGTGCATATATGACACTTATATTTACTACATTCAATAAAATTTTGCTAGATTCAACAATTCCTTCTTTTCCGTCCATGAGTTGAACGAAAGACCAGGAGCGAGTATTTTCGCCTCGGGCACGAATGATACCTTATGTCATCTTGATCCAGGTTTTCTCAAATTTATATCAGTCTCTGCCGTACGTCTTCCAAAGTATTCAAGTTGCGTTTCTTATTAACCCGAGAATGTTCCACAGATGAAGTATGAGATTCAAATATGGGACGACTTTATGTTTCAGCTGTAAGGCTTCCATTTATGATTGCAAGTTCCGTGCGACTAATCAAAGAAATGCTTCCCCAGATCATAGCCTGCTACTTGTGTGCTTATTATACTAACTGAATCCAATAAAATTATGTTTCATGCTATAAAATTGTGTTTCGGGAGTAATTGGAAAGATAATGCAGTTGATTCAAGAAAGAAATGATGGAAAAAGATAAGACAAAAGTGTTATTAAAATTCTAACTTGATAATGTAACTGTTACATTCTACAGTGTATTTAAAATTTCATGAAAAAAACACGCTATAATTGCTACACCCGGTATTCATGAAGAATAGATTTTTATGCGAATACAGTTTGCCAATATACAAAACAGAAAACGTCCAAATCGGACAATTATCTCAAACTTTTGAATACTTTTTGGCATTAATTTTATGGGGAAGTGTAGTTAACTAGGGATTTTAGAAAATAATTTGTCATCTCGTGTAGATAGTAAATGACTAATTCGATATACCTATTTATTATACAGCGTGTCTCGCTTCAAACAGCCCTCCCCCCTTTATATCTCAGCTATTATTCGTGCGATGCCTACGACTATGAGCAACGAGACAATCCTTGATTTCTAGGAGTAAAAAGACAATCATTTATCAGAGTATATAGCTATAATCATTGATTTGAAACACTTCTGGAAATCTGTCAAAGATATGTTAGTGGGAAAATGCTTGTATATAGTTCAGACGAATATACTTCAAATTCTAGTCCTTCTATATGATATGTGAGAATTATTAGAGATTCATATTATTGATTTTAAAGAGACATGTTCTTTGTAATAATGAACTGGCGGTCGACCGTACATTATATATATCACAAATACATAACGGCCATAATCAAACTTTAGACTGTGGATTTCTTTTATTACAATATTTCGGTGTGGAATTTTCATTTTTATTCACGTTATTTTGTAATTCTCCAATTATACGAACATAAATTAGATAGGTCGTAGTTGAATTTTGTATATCTCCGGCTTGTAGCCATCTGATTTCTTCATAGGTAATACTCTATTAGACATGGCTATATTCGCTTGAAATTTGACATTTCAAGGGAAATGAAATTTATAATATAAGGGGATGAAATTGAAGACATAAAATATATTGATTTACCGACAACAGTAGTGAAACAAGAGCAATTTTGTGTTATAGCCGTTGAATAGCTATTTATACCCACTTCAACTGCAGATATATCTCAGGACAAAGAAAATGAGATAGATTTATGGTTTCTATTGAAAATCTTATCACAATATTTTTTTGAACTTATGTGTTCGTAGGGGTTCAAGTTGGTGGCAAGAGATATGTGCACTTGCAAAGTGATTTAAAAACTTCTGAGAAATAATAATTCAATGTGAACCACATAATATATATCGCATATTATTTGTTTCAATTTCTGATTCATATAAACTTACCTCTTCATCACAGGACTTGAAAGATCATTATTTCTCTCAAGATGTGAAACTGACCCCGTATCAGTTGATGTCATATTTGAGAACAACCTTCTGCCAGTAGTTTCTGATCTGAAAAACATGGAATAATAGGTGTTATCTACAATGTTATCACATCACAATCATATAATGATTATGAGAGATTGAGTTATGATTAAATAATGATTGAGTTATGATTAAATAATGGCAGATTGATTAATTAGAGAATATGAGAAATCACAATTCAAAATAAAACCACATATTGAAGTATGAATATATCATATTAATTGTTTCAATTCCTGATTTATCTCAACTCACCTCTTCATTACAGGGCTTGAAACATCACTTTTTTTCTCAAAATGAGGAACTGGATCTGTACCAGTTGATGCCATATCTGAAAATAATCTTTTTCTAGTAGTTTCTGATCTGAAAAACATAGGTATCTACAATTTCCTATCACATCACAAATGTATAAAATTAATGACAGATTAATTGATTTTATGTGAATACTCATTAAATAATATGCTATACCTTGAGTGCCCAAATGATTCTTTATCACCATCACCAAAAAAAAGTGGAAGAGCACTATGTTTCAAATATGTTTTGCCACTTGGTTTGTTCAAAAAATCTCCAATCCCGAAATGAGATGAACAAATTCTGGCATGCTTGGGAATGGGTTCATTTTGATTACGGCTCAATCTTGATAACCAGATATCTCTATCATAGCTATCAGCTGGAAACCTATACAAAAAATCAAAAATCGATCTAATTATTTTTTTCTACACATAGGAACTCATATTTACACCTTTTACACATACTTTCAGGTAGAAGTACAATCATGTTTCAATATTTTTCTCTGGAAATAACCATAATAAGTATATACATATACATGATGTATTCTTCATTATTTCAATTTGAATTAACATAAAAGCATTGAGAAGGAATATTCTCAGATAAATGGAATGTGAAAAAATGGATATTTATATATATAAGAAATACATTTAGACTTCGCATTATATATTTGATGAAAATATCAATTGTTACGCCTATGAAACTCTCATTCAAACATGTAAACAAATAGTACTTACGAATGGAAGGTGAGATTCGGGTATAAAAACTTAGTTTTTTTGCAAATCCAGCACTGCAACACCATTGTTAGTCTCTGTCTATTAACTTTTCACAAAAAACTAGAAAATTCACTGAAAAACAACGAAATCAACAAACTTCCTCAAACACAAAACATAAACAAACAACGCCCAACTTGCCGAAAGCACAGCCGAAACCACGAAACGACCAGTGGAAACGACTGAAACGAGCCTGTTTTGAAGCGGCGTTGTCGGTTGTGTATAACTGCGGTAACCTTTACAGAATAATTTTGAAATAATGTATAATGACAGTTTTATAATATTTGACTGTGATGATCTATGGACATATGATTTATTCGTTGGGATCTATAAATTGGATCATAATGAACATCTAATTGAATAGATGAATGATGAATACAAAAGAGGTAAGTAAAAATACTTGAGAGGATTAGACTGAGGTTAGGAATTATTAGCGACAGGACGTGACAACCTCCAATTCAACATCAGGTAACACTGTGACCCTATTCTCTGGCTTCACATTACCACAGTTTGAAGAATGAGTATTCCTTAAACTGTGACATTACGATTTAAATAAATGGGTCCTTCTTTTCTATACGTCCATGATTTTTACGAATTTTTACGGGGCAGAAGTCTCGTATTATTCCCTTGGGAGATAATGTGACATATTTTCTCCCGAGGAACTTTATATACATTTTTCGCATAGCTCTGATAGCTTTCTTTTCGGAACGCCATTCTCTGAAGCGAGTATAAGCTGCATCATACAGATTTCTAGATAAGAATCACCGCAGAAGCAGTATCAATAATTTCTTGAGATTTTCCCTCTATTTCTTCTTCCATAACCTTTAACCATTTTCAAAGCTGTTCCCATGACCAAATTTTTAATCTTTTTTACTTTTTGTGTTTTCGCCAGCGTAAAAAATAGGGTGTCCGGAAATTATGCGCAAAAAATCAAGGGGGTGATTCTACATGATGAAATAAGGATATATTTCCATATGTACCTGGGACCGGAAATGCATAGTTTTCAACATACTCTTGAAATTTGGCAATAATATTCTTTGTCATGAGGGGCTTATATATAGCCATAATTCAATTGGAATTATAAAATCCAGTGGCGTCCCGGGGGGCAACTTACCGAATATTATTGTCAATAAAATGTGCGCCACTGATTTTATCGAATTCTGTATCTTCATAACCTATTGACCAACTGAAAATACAACATTTCGGTCTCCTGAATTATTTTGATAATTTGTTTCATTTCCATGGAAAAAATAGTTCAATTTATTGCACTAATTTGTGCCAAAAAATTCCTTCGAAAACTGAGGTGAAAATAAATGCGGCATCAATGTCCATAGATAGAGAATAAGTAATAAAAATTATTTTCTTCAAATATTCCTTGATACATGTTTACACTCTACACTCTGTATATTGAGAACTATGTATTCTCGGTTCATTAAGGCGTAGTTTTCGATAATACAAAGGGTGTCAAATATGTATTATGGAATATTTGAAGAAAATGAATCATAATTCATATTCTACGTCTATGGACATGGATAACACATTTAATTTCACCCCTGTTTGTGAAGCAATGTTTTGCACAAATTTATACAATGAATTGGTATTTATTTTTTTCCACGGAAACGCAGCAAAATTGCAAAACAATTCAAGAGACTAAAATGATGTATTTTTAGTCAATCATTAGGATATGGAGAGAATTTAAAAAAATCAGGGGCGCACATTTTATTGACAAAAATATTCGGTAGGGTGCCCCCGGGACGCCACTGGATTTCACAATTCTAATTTGAAAATGTCTAAATCAGCCCCTCATGACGAAGAATATCATAACCAAATTTCAAGAGAATTGGTGAAAGAATATTCGAGATATTCATAAAAAAACGATTTTTTCTAAAAAGTTCAACACACTGTATCTTGAAAACTATGCATTTCCGGACTCAAGTATGTATGAAATAAATTTCATGTTTTCTCATGCAGAATCACCCCCTTGATTTTTTGCGCATAATTTCTGGACACCCTGTATACACCTCAGGACAGAATGCAATTTATCCCTCGGTGCTTTGTATCTCTCGGGCTTCGCCCTCGAGCACCTAGGGAAAAGTCTTGCATTTCTGCCCCTTGATGTATAATGTACCATTTCACCACTAGCAATATGAAAGCACTTATTTTCAATTCTAATCAAAATCTAGTAGCAATGAGCATATCATATGACAAGTCGTTATTGATAAATACCTACTAGATTCCGAGTCCAATTCCTGATAGAATCTTGCATCAGAACGCAGTGAATTCAGGTTGATTATAACAGAGGTGAGAAAGTCTACATAAAATGACGAAAACTACCTTGGTAGTAAAAACGCACTTTACGCCTTGAAAAGGAACAAATATTGGTAGATTCTATAGCTAGTGGTGGAGAAAAAAGGATAAAAATATACATGGTTTTCATTTGTTTTAGGGGCGTCGCCTCTACACGTCGCCGTGATCTTCGGCAACACGAGCATCGTTCGGTATCTGGCCGGCAGATTCCCGGAAACCGTCCAAGTCGCCAACGATGATGGCAGGACTCCGCTGCACTACGCGGCAGTCCTGAAAGACAACGGCCACTACTACAACCTGCTCGTACATTTGGGCGCCGACATGCGATTGGAAGACAAGGTGGGTCCCAGCAGTGATTTAAATCCATTTTTTGTCCCCCCGCCCTCCCCCATCTCAATTATTTAGAATAATGAAGCTGGCTACGGAAAATAAAAAAACTCCATCGCCCCGCGTGAGAGTCGAACTCACATCTTCTGGGCTAAGGGAATGGCAATTTCGAGGTACCCTAGCCGGATACTCATTGATCTTCAACTTATCTTTGGTGGTATCCTCTCCACTCCTCAGTTTTCAATCTTTTGTATCGGCCCCTCTTGGTCAATTATCCTTTTTTCCTTCTCCTCTAAAGCCCAACCTCACCATAGTACGGGGAGGACAAGCCGCGGCTGCTCGGCAGATTGAGCATTTTGGAAACATCTTTGCTCTAATCACTCAGACGGGACAGTTTTGTGGTCATCTGAGTGCAACGATGGGTCAACTTGTGAACATCTGCTTATGTGACCGCGGATTGATAACGAGGATCTGGCAACCTAATCCAAGTTGTGGGAACCCGTGCAGTGGCGTAGCTGGGTGTCCGCAGAGCCCGCGGCGCGGGGGGGCTCGAGCTTCGGCCTGGTACCCGTTCGCCCTCGAAAAAATTTATATAAAATTCAGTTCCAATCGTACTCGGAATTTCCAAGAAAGGGCGCGTTTCTATTGTTGCGGCCACAAACCCAAAATGCCGTTCGGCACAAATTGTACACAGATGTTTCTTAAGTCTTACCTAGATCCTTTTTTATTTTATACACACAGTTGGTGTTTACCATCGAACCTAAGGTGTATTGCGAGATCGGATAGATAGTTCAGTTCGATTAATTCAAAAATTTATAACACCATAAGTTTATTCTTACGCATTATTAGTTTGCAAGCAAAGAAATATCAAATGAAATCGTGGATCAAGCCTATATATGTCTCAAGGTTCAAGGTATGTTAATTCAAATATCAAATATCTGCGCTCGACAATTTCGAACTCGTGCCTGATTTGTGCACTTTTTTTGCATACTTATTGTGCTGAGAGATTCAATTATACAGATTGATTTCAATTTATTTCAGAAGAAACTTCAATGGAAATTAATGACACTGAAATTTACATTCTTGTAATTAAATCTGATTCCCAATCAAATTCGAGCACAAAAGCAGACATTGATGCAGTTAATTCCACCTTCTTTGAATCAAACACTAGCAAAATTTTTCAAGCTGAGGAACCAAACATTGATTGCAGTGTACCATACCCAAATGAGCATGATGAAATAATACTTGCAGATCGGACTGTCAATTTTTCTGATTTGGCGCAATTGTTGCAGACTACTAGGCATTTCCCTTCAGATCGAGGATATTATACAAGTTTGCAAATCCCAGGTGATGAATTGAAAAGAGACATTATAAATTATGGTCCTTGTAAGCCGAAAGGACCATTTCCTAAGGACTCTCATGATCAAAGCTTTTCCGCAGACTATTATACTATAAAAACAAATGATTCTAGTCTCATATATTACCAAGATTGAAACTGTGCTATTCAAAGGTACTTGATAAAGTCTATTCCGAGCACTGTTGGCTCTTTGGAGATCAAAAAATCCTTTTTTTTCGATCTATATGGGTTGAAGGAATAAATGACTGGCAAGGAATTTTGAAAAAAATAAAAAAAACACGCGAGTGCTCAGCATCATTCTAAAGCTTCTTCAATATATATATGTGGAAAAATAAAAGAACTATTGACAGTTTAGTGAACCAGGGATTGAAAGAAAACATCAGTTTTCGGAAAGAAGTACTAAAACGCATAATTCACGTTATTTTAATGTTATCTAGTTGTGATATGGCTTTTCGTGGTCAACAGAAGGTGAATGAGTATGATATACATAATAGAGATAATTTTTTATCAGTGTCTTCAGGAACCTGACTGAAAAGAGTCTTTCAAACGAACCTTTGGTACTGTGGCGTCATTTGAAGTGGCCCGCATATGAAAACCATGGGTCGTATATGGTAAAATCAATAACGGCATATTCGAGGTATAATGGTACAATGGGCCAACAGGCCTAAGTGTCATCGGAGACTTTGGTCAGACGAGCCTTGAAAGATGGTGGAGTGTTTAGTGGTTACACCTACATGTAGAGATTCCTACACTACCATGAAGGGAATGGTCCTTCGTGGTGTCCATAAACGATTTTGACCACCTCCGAAAAAAATGATCATTGAGCTAACGCAGGGATGCATAGACTTATATATCATCCCCCCCCCCCATTGATATTTTCAAAATCTCAAGAGCTCTGATTTTAGCAGAACAAAAAATACATAATTTTAAAACCACTTTTCCTAATAGAGGTTATTTATTTCTAACTTTTCTGTATGAATCCTGTACCATACTCGCAACTGTTCTTATACAGGGTGTTTCATGAGAAGACTCACATAGCCAAATGGTTGATAGGGAAAATCAAGGCGAGTTGATGTATATAAAGGAAAACATTTTCTGACCCTACATAACGAATTAATATGTGAAATTGCTATATAACTTTGATGGCCGATATTACAGAAATGATTCATCGTTATCTGCTGAAATTTGGAAGCGACGTATCTCTATTGAAACTATTCAAGATAACATATTATGAAAAAAAATATCCAGTTCCGGACTTGGAAAAATTTCATGTTTCATTGGTATGTCAAAAAAGTTCACTTTGTGACCACTTTTCTCGAAAACTTCTATCAGATTCAGAAAGATCAGACAAAATGCTATAAGAACTGCTCTTCAATTTACACGGCACACTTTGACCGGTTCGATAAAAAAATATGGAACAAAATCGTTCGAATGAATTTTAAATTTCGACCTGGCTGATAACTGTCAACTTTCAACTGTTGTTGAATAGTATGGCACAGAAGAATAGACGAGAAGAAAAAACACGATATTTTTTCATCGCACTCCCAGATAGATATTATTATTCCTGACTTTGTTTTATGATGGTTTTATGGGTTTCAGTTGCAGTAATGATAAGATATCTATAGTAGGCCCTGTTTTCCATTTTTGTGACAAGACGTGACGTTTGTTGATGATCCGAACTGATAGGTAGGTACTAGGCTAGTACTAGGTAGGTACCAACTGATGAAATTACGACATGAGGATTCATGTGCCCATATTATGGTGATTTATAAAATTAGTTCACGTATAAACTTAGCTCCATTTTTTGTAATTGATACACTTCTGCAAGTGATATAAAGATTCATTTGCTATTTATTCAAAATTTCTAATGTTCGTCATCGTGAAGGTTTTACTGCAACGTATTTTTGGGTCTGGAAATATTCTATGGTATTAAACATAGCATAGCATTTGGATTTTCGTCTTGTTCAGCATTTGAAATATGAAGTGGCACCTAGAGTGCAAAAATATTCCGATTACTAGTGTTTACCTATCAACAAACGCCACGTTACATAAAATATAAACAGGGCCTACTTTATAACAAATTTATAAAATAGAGTCACGAGTAACCATATCTATCTAAAAGTTTGGTCAAAAACTAACATGTCATAAAAAATCAGAACTGCTCTCTTCTGTCAATTTCTATCCTACAAAAATGTACAAAAAAATCAATTTACACGAATCCAGTTGAAAGTTGAGAGTTATCAGCCAGGTCAAAATTGAAAATTCATTCGAACGATTTTGTTCCATATTTCTTCATTGAACCGGTCAAAGTGTGCCGGGTAAATTGAAGAGCAGTTCTTATAGCATTTTGTCTGATCTTTCTGAATCTGATGGAATTTTTCGAGAAAAGTGGTCACAAAGTGAATTTTTTTGACATAACAATGAAACATGAAATTTTCCCAAGTCCGGACCTGGATATTTTCTTTCATAATATGCTATCTTGAATAGTTTCAGTAGAGATACGTCGCTGCCAAATTTCAGCAGATTACGATGAATCATTTCTGTAATATCGGCCATCAAAGTTATATAGCAATTTCTTTATGGAGGGTCAAAAAATGTTTTCATTTATATACATCAACTCGTCTTGATTTTCTCTATTAACCATTTGGCTATGTGAATCTTCTCATGAAACACCCTGTATATGTAGGTATACCATACCATTTGGATTGTTTGGGAATTCGACGTTCGACGTCTGCATTTAGTATCTTCGTAATAACTCAAACTATTTTCGACACCTAGCATGCCAAATCTCATATGTATGGTCAAAACAAGAAAACGTTTGAGTTGTGGATATGAAGAATGCACCTCTCAAATACTTCAATGATGACATAACAATTGAAGATAAATTACTCACGAGTACACCAAATTGCAACTTGAAATTCGTGTCGTGTACAATATTAAATAACCGAAAATTGATATTTTCAGTTTGGGCATTCACCAGAGTACTACAGAAAAAATCAAGAGGAATTCTCGCATAGGGAATTGCTGAAGGAGTTTGGAGTAGAGGAACAAGAAGCCGAAGAAGTTTTAACGGACAAAGGTAGGATCTTACTTATTTGGCAACGATCGATGTTAGGTAGTGATGGCTTTCTCGATATATTTGATTGTGTTGAGTGCTGATAAATTCTAAAAGAAATCGATTTGCAAATTAATTTCATGCAGGAACTCATTTTCATAAGCAATTATTACTCTTTCTACTGAGTTTTTATCTATTTTTGTGGTCGTCATTATGAGATTTCCGGTTTTATATGAGGTCCCTATATGGTTTATATAATTTTTAACAGAGAATAGAGAATCTTTTCTAAGTATGAATTACTGATGCTGAAATGAACTGTATTGCAATTAATATACAAGGTGATTCAGGCTATATATAAAGGATATGCCTTGAGGTAATATTGAGTAGGGATCATTATACAATGTGATTCAGGTTTCAAGGTACAAACATAAATGAGTGATAGATCTCATCATTTTAATCAAAAAAGTGTATATAAAGTGGTCAAAGTTTAATTATTCTTTTTTCTATTGATTCAAATGTCTCCCTTAGTTTCAAAAATATCGATATGAAATTGGGTGTAGTCAATACAGACTAGAAGACCATCATTTGGATCATTTCAGAACTTTTTGATATCTACAGGACTATATACGTTTTCGGGGATAGAGGCTTCTTTATCCCCCCATCCAAACATTTTCGTAATACGGCTCTGATATCTTCCAGTTACCAAATTGGGAGGGTCATTCAATTCAAAGTATTTTCTTGCATTCCAATTTTTCCGTGAAACGAACTGTTTTCGAGAAAAATAAGCATTTCCGTTCTAAAATATGTTAATTTTGCCCTCGATTTTCCTATATGTTTCGTTTAAATTTCTTTCTTGGGCAAAACACGTTAAAAATGCAATAAAATGTACTGAAATTGCAATGTTTCTTCTTGAGCAGAATAGACTAATGATTAAAAACATTGAAATTTTTAGTACATTTTATTACAGTTTTGGAAAATTTTGTACAAGAATAAAATTCAAGCGAAACATAGGCGAAATTAACATGTTTTAGAAAGTATATGCTTATTTATCTCGAAAACGGTTCGTTTCTCGAAAAAAATTGACAAACAAAAAAATCATCCAAATTAAACGAAATACCCGATCTATTAACTGGAAGATGTCAGAGGCGTACTACGAAAAAGTTTGGGAAGTATAAAAAAGCTTCTACCCCCAGAAACGTATAACCTTGAGGATATCGAAAATCTCTGAAATGCTTTAAACTATGATCTTCTAGGAAGTATCAACCATACTAAATTTCAAATTGATAGCTTCATGAGCAAGATATTTTGATTAATAGAAAAAAATAATCAAACTTCGACCCCCCCTGTTGCTCCGCTCTTCATCTAGATCAGACTCATGTTTATAAAAATGGTCTTGATTAAAATGATGAGGTCTATCACCCATTTCAGTTTGTACCTTGAAACCTGAATCACCCTGTATAATGTGTCCCAGTTCCAGGCCAATAATAGTTTCTGAAGTTCCAAAACCTCCCATTATCACTAATTACTGATCTTGAAAAATTCAAAAACATGTACCCATGATGAAAAAATACCCTAATGGTACGATGAATACTGGAAAATCACAAGGGTGAAGAAACTTTCAACGGGTCATACCATGCACTACATTAGAATGCCATTTTGTGATTTTATCCCTTCATAAATGTCCCGATTTTAAATTTGTTTGGCCTAGTAGGTTTTCTAATGGCGATTTTCTAATATAAACTAATCAACGTCTAAATATCATACAAACTTATATGAATTTTTATACATTTGAATTAGTGAACAAATTGAAGAATAGTGTAGGCAAGGTTATATTTTTCGTTCATTCGACATTATTGATAATAAAAAATGTGTACCTATACAGGGTGGTTCATTAAGAATGGGAAATCTCTGAACTACAGATAGTAAACATACAAATAATGAGATTCAGCCCAATATGCCTAATGGGAATGTTGCTGGTTTAGGAGATACGGAGTGTTCTAGGAGGAGATTTTATTTCAAAATTTCACAATAACTTCGTTAGTTTTAACAGCATGAACATGGAATCATGTATTTCTTGGTTTTCTGACATGAGGAATATGAATTTGTAACTTATTTTGTGATTACTCATAGAGGGCGCTAGTGCCGCTAGTGGCACTCTGTTACTTCGATAATTTACATCATATTTTCTATGTCAATTCCTTGATGATCAAAATAAGTGGGAAATCTGAAAGCTCGTTCAATTTCACATGACAAAATGTACTCTTTATCAAACTCTCTATAATAGCTTCAACGGTTTTTGTGTTATTCGCTCTTGAAGAGATTTATTTTCCACTTATGATATTTTAATAATTTCGAATCAATCGAATTTAGAATAGTAAACATCCAAATATGAAGATTTCGCCCAACATGCCATATAAAAATATTGCTGGTTTAAGAGATACAGGGTGGTTAAGGAGGAGATTTCTTTTCAAAATATCTTTTTTTTATAATGCATGTTAGTCTAAATCTCTTCGAGAGCGAATAACACAAAAACCGTTGAAGTTAGACAATTTGATAAAGAGTACATTTTTCATGTAAAATTGAACGAGCTTCCAGATTTTCCACTTATTTCGATCATCAAGGAATTGACATAGCTGATAAGATGTAAATTATCCAAGTAACAGAGTGCCACTAGCGCCCTCTATGAGCTATCACAAAATAAGTTGCACATTCATATTCCTCATGTCAGAAAACCTAGGAATACGAGATTTCATGTTCATTCTGTTGAAACTAACAAAGTTATTGTGAAATTTTGAAATAAAATCTCCCCTTAGAACACCCTGTATCTCCTAAGCCAGCAACAATGTCAACATGCATATTGGGCAAAATCTCATTATTCTTGTGTTTACTATCTGTAGTTCAGAGATTTTCCATTCTTAATTAATCTTCCTGTATATAAGTTTTCAGCCACTATCTACCGCACAAGCACGCGATCCGCTCTCCACCACATAGTTTGAACATCCAGTGCATATCTGACCAAATTTCGAATTTGAAAATCATCTCATTAGATATCATGTGGATAATGACCACCTTACCTAGCTTCCATCACAAAATTCATCATTTCCAGAAATTGTAGGTACATAATAATATGTCTCTAGATTTTTTTGGAACTTTTTCTCGTCTGTGTGAATAAAATGGGTATTATTGCTAAATACCTGCAGTAAGAACACATCAGATGATTTGCCCATGATTAGGTACACCTTGTTTCAAAAACGCTGGGTGTAATGGTGTATTGAAAAAATCTAATAGCTCCACTTATTTTTCTGTATTTCGGAGTATATATCTGGAATACACTAAAAACCAGAGCATTCTCAATATACGAGTAGTACTTCGTGATATCATCAACTTTGTATCATCTCCTTCTTACTTTCAGTGGTTTTTTTCGTTATTGATCAAAATTGTCTATAATTGCATATGTAGTGTAAACAAATTCAAGTGATCATCAGAATTAACCAAATCCTTGCAATAGGACTGTAATGTCTTTGTAAGCAATAGAGATTCAATCTATCTATATGATATATAAATCAACAATCTTATCTGGGCAGTTTTCGTGTCAACCCGGTATATTTTTAGATGAGGTTTCCAAATGCACATTGAGATAAAATTCGGAAACCACAAATAGGTAAGTATACCTAATTTTGAAATTTTGGAATTTTGTCATGTAGATTTACTCCTGCTCATTTGAATCATTATAAACTGTTATCTCGAAAACCAAGCAAGATGGAATATCTTAATTATTACATCCCGGATTTGTTTCAGGAAAGATATTAAGAATATAGTTTCCTTCAGAACCAAAAAAAAAAAAACGGAAAATCTACCGAAAATTGATATAAGTATATGGATATATGAAAATATCACAAATAATTGTAGGTATATTTGCCACAAAAATATTAATATGTCTTGTTCGATAGTTGCATCTACTGAAATGTATCATATCCATATACAGAATAGTTCATTGAATTGTACATCAGCTAATGTATGAAACAAAATATTGAACGATGAAGGAGAGTATTTGAATTTTCCTGTATATCAAATACATCAGCAGTAACCTAGTAAGTCAAAAACCAGATCTTTATATTTTGAGCCAAAGATGCTAACGTACAGTAATGAACCATAATGTAGAGCTCCTGATAATCACTGAACTAGACGAGTGAACGAAAACTGATTGTTGATAAAGCAACTGATCAAAATGAAATTAAGCTATTTAAATTATCTCACATCTAGTACCAAACGACGACTGTTCCGCCAGAAAAGACCTAGACGACGAAGACATGCTCACAGTCCTCGAACGTTGCTACAACGTTCTGCAAGGTCGCAGAAACTCCAACGTATCAGTTTCCTCAGCAGTCACCGCCAGCTCGCTAAACTACACCTTCCTCGGCAAACACTTCAAAAGACTCACTTTCGATGCGGTCAGCAAGAGACTGACTCGCCTGGACCACAATCTCTACGACATCATATGGCCCAGCGTCAAAAAACTACCCACCGACCCCAGTTTCAAGCTAGCCCTAGAACAAGACTTCCCCATCGGAATAGTAGCTCCAGACGTGTGTGTCTATAAGGTGTTCAAAGAGTTCCTAGAACCCATCGTCAAGGACTACAACAATATAGACGCCAACCAAGAGCTGGGTCCACACCCCCAAACCACATTCACGCCGAGCGAGCACACAAGAGAAACCGACTTAGACCTGGACCCGCAAGGAAAACTGATCATCTCAGGCAGCGTTTATGTCACCAGAAACCTAGCGGACTTTGAGCTACCAAAGTCCTTGAACCACGGCCAGCTAGAGCAAGTTGAGCGGCTCATAACCACGGTGCTCATGAGCAAAGAAGTGGCTAAGGCTCTCTACCCGCATACCTCAGACCGAGACATCGAGGAGAAAGGCAACGGCACTTACTACACGATGAACGAGGTGATGGAAGACCCCTCTGAGGCCAAGATACTCCTGGCCAGCAACAACCTGCTGATACCTCTGTGGAACCTCCCGGAGTCCGACAGGCTGCACGGCAGGCACTGGCCCTATGGCAGAGGCGTTTTCGTGAGCAACGGAGCCAACCTGGCTGTTTGGGTTAACGTCCTGGATCACTTGAGGATAGTCACTTGCACTGATCCCTTGCATCCCGGGAACGTTGGCCAAATCTTCTCGCGGGTTGACAGACTGGTGACCGTCTTGACTAGGCACCTTGACTTTCTGTTTGACGAGACGCTAGGCTTTTTGTCTGCGAGGCCCTCGGTGATAGGGAATACTTTGCAATTCAGCCTGGCCGTGCGGTTTCCTCATTTGATCAAGGAGCCGGAGAACTTGAAGCATTTGTGCGTCGTCAGGGGTTTGACTTATCACAGGAACACGAGCACCACGGACGTGGTCAGGTTAGGGAATCAGCAAAGTCTCGGGCTGACTGAGCTGCAATGTTTCGAGGACTTTTCGACTGCTGTAACGAATATTCTGCAGCTAGAGAAACACTTAGCTACGTCGAATTCTTTACATATGGCTGCCATGTTTTTGAATATTTTTAAGAAAAAGAAACTGGCACAATCTGCCTGAAGTCCCTTAGTGAGTAACCGCGTGTAAATGTTGTAACTTTACTTATTAGTCCAAACTTAATTTACTATATGCCAATTTGTACATAGTGCCAAAACCTCATTTCTACCTTTTTATATTGTAACAACACAAGTAGAGGATGGAATTTATGAAATAGGTTAGTGAAAACGAATATATCGATAATCATTTCAATTCACGTCTACTTGTTTTTTCAAATACCTTTCTCAATATATAGTTTGTCTGTATTGTACAGTGTTTCAAGATGCACTGCAAATCACTACACATTCTTCATGTTGAATTGTAATGTGTGCGATTGTATGTTCTTGTGTTTTGTTTGAAGAGCTTGGAAAAATGTGTTTCTACCTCACAGCAGTATTTTCTGCACTTTGTATACTTCTATAATCTTATTCTTCAATAATGTAAAAGTCTCAGGAAAGTTTTTGTTTGGTTTCAGATAATTTAACTGCCGAAAATGGGCAAGTTGATATGCCTTTTTTCGCCACAGAAGAAGGGCGATACTTAGCATCCTGTGAGTACCTACTTTTTTAAACAAAGTACCAAACACTCGAAATGTAACAACGCATAATTTTTTCCAATTATTTTTTGATCCCTTGCAAATTCACCATTTGTTCGAAAAATATATTTTGATCACATATCCAGAAAGGCTTCGTTTTCGAGATACAGGATTCGATGAAGGATTATACAGTGCTTTCGTAAAGTTTAGAAAAACTATCCATTTCCGAGAAATCCTCTGAAACAAGTTGAATTTCTTGAGCAAGATGTCGTTCTGGAAGCAGAAAAAGTTTTTCTTCCATCTTAACAATAGTTAGTTGATTGTTGAGCCTCATCGTCCTCCATAATTTGTCTTCACATGTTTGGGGGTTGGACCCCTTAAAAAACACTTTTTTATCACTAATTTTGAAAACAATGTAACACAACCTTTTCAATTTCCATGTGAGTACATTCTTTTTGAAAAAGGTTTTTCATATATGATGTATCTCATCAGATTGTAGGACTTCTTAGAATAGGCTGAAGATGGACATTGCTTATGTCCGAAACATGTTCTTGATTTGATGTTTTCAAATTAAAATGTCGTGGAGATGACTTTGTGCTTTTCACATTGAATATAAACTTTATCACTCCATTTTGAGCTACAATGGGCTGCTACCAACACTTGAAGTTAAATTTTATTCTCAATTTGCCAAACTCACACGTAAAAACCAGATATACAGGGTGATCCACGTTTGAGTTAGGACGTCCGCGGCAATTTCATCAAATGGACCATATATTTTATTCAATTTTTGAAATCTCTTTGAGAATCTGGATTCGAAAATATATTACACATAAACCCTATGTGTAATATATCAATACTGAAAAGTGAAAAAAAATCCACTAAATTATTCAATGCAGCGCTTCGAATTGTTTATGAATTGTATTTATATTTTAATCCGAAGGAGCTTGTCATAATTACATTTTTCGAACTAATTATTCCTATAAGTCTATCAATCGGAACTAATTGATGAGGTATCAGTTTGTTGGCTAATTTACCTTCAAAATAAGTGAAACTGATGGCATTTTTCCTTCGGAATTTCTAAAAAAACATTGATGATGGCTAAAAATAGTTCGAAACACATTCAAATCACCTTGTATAATAAATGGTTGAATTCAGAATAAAAAAAACTCTCAGAATCTGTGAAAGAATTATCAGGGCCGTATTTAAAAAACAAAAGTTGATGATGGTTCTACGAATACGAAACGTCGCATAGAAAAATCGGTATCACCACGTTAAACGTCATCAAAAGTTGCTATAGAAAAGTATTTTCAGTTTTCCTGTATCTCTAATAATAACGGAGAAAAAAAATAAAATAGAGATTCCAAAAATTCACTTTTCTCGATATAACTGAAAAACTAAAAAAATTTTTGAAAATTTTCGAAGGCTGTTGGTATGAGCCTCCGAATGCGCAACTTTTTCCCCATTTAACCGACTTCGTATCTCCTACCGTTTCCGAGATCCCCATGCTGTGCAACCTTATCTTGGACAGACTGTATAGTGTGTCAGTTCAATTAACTGCTCTCGTGAAGTAGTGAATAAATTCATTTATAGCCAAACTATTCATTTCTGAGGAATCTCCTGCAACAGGTGGATTTTAAATTTTATCAAATTAAATATACAGGATGATTCACGTTTGAGTTATGACGTTCGTGATTTTCTTTTTGAATAAAATATATTACACAAAGTTCCCTTCAATTAAATTAAGTGCTTTTGTAAAGATGTGGATTAATTCGATGGAATTTTTTTGAAGGAATGCTCGGAACCGTAGAGCTTTCTTTCAAATTCAATTAATAAATACAGAATGATTCGTGTAGGATAAATCACGGCATAGGTATTTTTTAATGGCGACCCCATTATACACGACCCCATTTCACAAGAGCACTGAAATTAACAGATGCCATGTATACAAACCCTATGTGTGATATAACTTGGAATCCAGATTTCCATAGAGATTAAAAAAATTAATAATATATTTAGGGTGTTCCGTTTGAAAAATTTGTCACGGACGTCATAACTCAAACGTGGATCACCTTGATGTATGTTTGATGATTTCTCCTTATGAATGTGGCAAATTGAGAATAAAAATCGACCTCTGTTTCAGGAGATTAATCAGATATAAATAATCATTGGCTATAATGAATTCATTCAGTATTTTACGAAAGCACCGTAAGTATTTGCAACTCTTTATCATACATCATCAAACCAAATTCCCGAGAAATCCCAAGATTTTGTTTCAAGAATTCTCTCTCAATTTTGGGATAGAGACTAATATTTTGTTTATATTTTTATAGAAATCTGATATTTGTAGAGAACTGGTTTCATTAGTTTTAATCGATGAAAGGTTTGAATATGACCATTCTTCAAATTTCATCAAATCTATGTTAATTATTTTTCTGAAATAATGAGATTTTCATTTTCATTTATATCGTATCTTATGCATAAATAGTATGATACCTTCATGCTTCAGTCTAGGTTATATAGTTTATAAACTTGGCGTCAATTGAAACGTTAATAGTGAAATTTGGCATCAAGTTTGACTTCTCGTAATTTCTAAAATATTGAACGAATTTTGAATTGCTGCTCAGATTCTGAATGCCTTTTTCATCGTCTTCCGAACTATTCCTTACAGCTTCTTCTAAATTGATCAGGACCCGTGATTCAAGGTGAAACAAGGTTCGTGCATTTTGAAGAAAATTTCTCCGCCCCCCCCCCCCATTTTGTCGGAAGACCACGATGCTCATATTTCATTCGGGCATTTCATAAATAGCAACCATACCTCGGGATGTTTTCGAGTTTTTGCCAAAAACTACTGTGGTTTCCGAAAAAAAATGATTTTTTGAATTTTTCTTACATGGACTGATTACCTGTATCCTCAAAACGATGAATCAGTCTATTTATTGTCATGACTGACTTATTGAAAATTGAACTGAAATGAGTTTGGGTATATCCTAACCGTCGTAGCCTGAAATAATAATTATCTGTACTGAATTAAAGTTTATATCACTATAGTGATCTTACCTAATGATTTTCCATTTCGACCCGATTTGATCGAGGCATCTTTAAATTTGTTAGGACCCGAATTACACTAACGTTTTCATGAAAATTGGCAATTGATATAACCTCTATGCATATCTACATTATTGTTTCAACAATAAGTTGTTATAGAAACAAGGTTTCGTTGTTTGTTTTTGTTGATGAGATGTATTGATTTACTGCTCACTAAGGTAGACAACTTTTATCATGGACTGCAAAGTAATAAATTATTGATTGTTTTTGAGTAACCTGGTATACATATCTGCTCCAACGCTTTCCTGAAATGCATAATAGCATGCATTAATGGAACTCCTCTAAAATTATTCCATTTAAAAAAATACAAAAAAAAAAATTTTTTTCGGAAACCACAGTAGTTTTTGGCAAAAACTCGAAAACATCACGAGGTATGGTTGCTATTCATGAAATGCCTGAATAAAATATGAGCATCGTGGTCTTCCGACAAAATGGGGGGGGCGGAGAATTTTTTTTCAAAATGCACGAAACTTTGTTTCATCCTGTTTCACGGGTCCTGATCAACTCAGAAGGAGCTGTAAGGAATGGTTCGAAAGACGATGAAAAAGGCATTCAGAATCTGGGCGGCAATTCGAAATTCGTTCGATATTTCAGAAATTACGAGAAGTCAAACTTGATGCCAAATTTCACTATTAACGTTTCAATTGACGCCCAGTTTATACACTCACAGGCAAAAAACGGCCACCCAGAAATATTTTACATATCGATATTTCCCCAAATATATACTGTTATTATCGAATTGTATTCGTTCGCATTATTGTTATCTTCAGCCAATTTATACACCCCGTATAATCGACAAATTACTCTTCAAAATGTTATCCTCTAGTTGAAATAACAGTTTTGAGGGGAGCCTTTTTTTCCGGTGGGTTTATGATAAACATAAGATTGGTCCTGAAACAGATCCATGCGGAACACATTTAGTCACTGTACATAATATACTGTACTAACTTGATACTAAGTCTAGAAAATTCGAGGTAGGTAATAAATAGGTATAGTTGTTCAAGGACCACACTAAATTGCGGCAGGCTCATCATCAAGTCAGCAACAGTTAGTTCGAAATTATCTGAATCGCCTGAACCTCGATCTGTTTACTACACCTTTTCCAATTTTAGTTCAAAAAGCTTCAAGTGAATTTCAAAAGTATGAAGTCTATTTCAAATCAGTCATTTTAATTTCAAAAAGTATCGAATGTATTTCAAAAGTATTAATAATTCAATTTCAAAATGCATCAATTGTATTCCAAATTAGATATTTCAATTTCAAAACATTCCATTACAATTTCAAAATTTATCATTTCAATTTCAATACTAATCATTTCTATTGATGATGCCACAATGCCAGGAACCAGAAGCCAGAAGCGTTCCAATAACACAGTGAATGAAAATATCACCGCCAACGCCAATCTAACCTTTGCCTGGGCTTTTTCAGTTTTGAAATTCAAATGATACCTTATGAAGTACATTTGATATTTTTTGAAATACAAATTACTGTTTTGGAATATGAAGTGTAAGTTTTTGAAATTAAAATGATTAATTTGACATACAGTAGACGCGTTTTGAAATTAAATTGATACCTTTGAAATACATTTGATACTTTTCCAAATTGAATTGAATAATTTGAAATAAAAATGATGCTTTTTGAAACCCAAATGACAATTTGGAAATACAATAAACCATTTTTAACTAAAATTGAAACAGGTGTAGTTCTATCGGGTGGTCACAAAAAAACCGGAAGTTTTCATTTTCCTCGTGGTTTCCTCATTTCTCAACCGAATTCGAATTTCCTGGCGTCATTTCATAGCTAAAGGGCTATAGTATACAGTGGAATATTTGAAAATTCCATAATGAACAAAAACAAAATGGCGGATTCTACCAAAGTATTGTCATTTACAAAAACAACTGGAGAGAAAGAAAATCAGATTTTTTCCAACCTGAACCGATGTCATCTTAGGCTATTTATTTCTGAAGAGAATGAGTACTCGAACATCGAAATCGAACGAATAGTCCAGCAGATACACTCATTTCTTTTCAAATTGTTATGGAGTGAATGTGCGAATCTCGTATAAACGATTATTATTATTTTGCTTCAGGCTTCATTAGAATTCTATCGGATTTTTATTTCTTAAGAGTTATTTCAAAGATAAAGAACTGTAGTACAGAATGGAACATTTGAAAATCTAATAATTGAAAGAAACAAAATGGTGGAGAATCCAGAATTTTTGTGATTTTCAAAATACTCTGGCGAATAAAAAAATGTTTATTCTTTCAATCAGGACCAATACAATTTTAGATCATTGATTTCTAAAAGGAATGAGCACTGAAACATCTGAATCGAACAATTAGTCCAGGAGAAACACGTTCTTTTTGGCAAATTGTTATGGAGTGAATGTGCCAATCCCGTGATAAGAATTACTTTTAGTTTGCTTCTGCCTTTATCTGAATTCGATCGAATTTGGATTTCACTCCATAACACTTTGCCAAAAAGAACGTGTTCCTCCTGGACTAATTGTTCGATTCAGATGTTCGAGTGCTCATTCTTCTCAGAAATCAATGATCTAAAATTGTATCGGTCCTTATTGGAAGAATAAACATTTTTTTATTCGCCAGAGATTTTTGAAAATCACAAAAATTCTGGATTCTCCACCATTTTGTTTCTTTCAATTATTAGATTTTCAAATGTTCCATTGTGTACAACAGTTCTTTATCTTTGAAATAACTCCAAGAAATCCAAATTCGATTCAATTTTCATGAAGCCTGAAGTAAAATGATAATAATCGTTTATACGAGATTAGCACATTCACTCCATAACAAATTGCAAAGAAATGAGTGTATCTACTGGACTATTCGTTCGATTTCGATGTTCCAGTACTCATTCTCTTCAGAAATGAATTGCCTAAGATGACATCGGTACAGGTTGGAAAAAATCTGATTTTCTTTTTCTCCAGCGGTTTTTGTAAATGACAATACTTTGGTAGAATCCGCCATTTTGATTTTGTTCATTATGGAATTTTCAAATATTCCACTGTATACTATAGCCCTTTAGCTATGAAACGACGCCAAGAAATTCGAATTCGGTTGAGAAATGATGAAACCACGAGGAAAACAAAAACTTCCGGTTTTTTTTTAACCACCCGATAGGTAGGTATATCCAGGCTTTTGTATTTTGTCTTGGACATAGATTCTTTGATGCTATAAGAAATCCGCCACCATAGTTCTAAAGATTGCAAATATTTTATTTATCGTGACATGACGTTTTCTTCTAGCGCTAGGAGATCCTCTGATAAAAGGCCTCACTGAAGTCGCCAACAAGAGACCAGATGATCCCATAGCATACTTGGCCCAGTATCTCTACAATTTCGCTAACACTAATAATGTTAGATCTAGAGGAAGAACACAGGTACCCGCAATTTCTGAGATATCCAAAACACTTCTTTTATCAGCCGCAAATATAAATCCAGTTATTGTAACGTTCAATTGTAGCGACACAGTTTATTTTCAGGAGAGCTCACAACAAATTGTGAATGGTGAACCAACAAATGCAGATGACAACAAAGCCATTCCAGCCAGTATTGACGTAGTTACCATCGAACCTGATGAATCAAACGAAGAATCTGCATTCAGCAATACTAGCAGGGTATGTATTGGCACTAAGCCTGGGAAAAAATATCGATATATCGATAACTATCGATAACTATTGATAACTATCGATAACTACCGATAACTACCGATAACTATCGATATACCAATATACAGGGTGGTCCGTTTTTTAATACGGAGAATTTAACAGCGTATAGTATTCGTTGAAATAATAAAAAAACTTCGCTTCGTTTTTGAGATATTGGGTGTCAAAAATACGCTTCTGGATATATTTTTTCAATCAAAAATTAGAAACGGTAGATAAATTAACGAAATTTTTCACAGATACAGAACTTTTTGAGCCATATTAGATTAAATAAAAATTATTCATAAAAAACTATTCAGTGGCGGCTGAATCTGGGGTGGCGAAAGTAATAGTAGAGTGCCAAACGAATCGTAAGTCGCTTAGATCAAAAGTTGGTGGGAAATCGGAGGTAAAAAGCTGTGACATGGCTAGAATTGTTACCTACCATCTCCAGATCATGGGTCCACTTGTCGTCAAAAAATCGTCCTGTGCGTTTGGGGGGTAGGGGGTAATTTATAAAAAAATATGAATTTTTTTTTTATTCGTGGAAAATATTGAAGGGTTTCAGAACTTTCACCCTGTTGAATCTTGATTTCGTGTGACAAGTGGAACAAATTATAGAAAATTTCGAAATTCACCAATTACATTACGATATATGAGAAAATCATATTTCAAACGGCTATAACTCGAAACTTGTAAATTTTCGTTAAATTGCTTTTCATTTACCTCGCATTATCTCAGTAACTACAACGTTTATCAAAAAAATACTTCGAATAATGTCGATGCGCCTATGTTTCAAGATGCGAATGGTTCTTCGATTTTGAAAATCGAAGCATAAATAAGGAAGATATTGGGAAAATCATAATCCAATGCAGGTAGTACGAAGGACCGCGGTTCGCCGCTTTCATACCCCGATTTTCCCCGCAACGCCCGCAGCCGTCCTAGTACGATCACCGTAAATATGAATTACTGAGTGTTACAGAATTACGATCATGGAATTCACGGGAAAAATGGAATCGATCGCTATTTTCCAAGTTGACAGAAATTTCTTTAAATTTGCTGTTTGATTGGAAGTGACCTCAATTTATTTTATGAATGATTCTATTTCGAAAGTACATTTTTTATCCATCAGAGTAAAATGTCACCCATCTCATTTATTAACAAATTGAGAAATATTGAAACAAAACATGATGCATATAATATTGAAATAAAGATAAGATACCCTTGTGGAAACTTGAAAAAAACATCCTTTGATACCAATCGCAAAGTTGTAAATATTTTTATACGATACAGTGTCTACAAGAATACAAAGCTTAGATAATTTTTTTCGATCATATGACACCTGGTATATAGATTAACAGATCATCCTAATTCTAAAGAACGGGAATACAAGTTCTGAATCACAGGTTATCTGATTCTGTTGGACAGGGCGAACTGTGCCTATACGCTGAAGAATCTCATCTTATACTACGGGTTATTTGTGACTATATGAAAATGGTATGGTTTTAAGATGCCACAGCATATTTGGGTACCTAATTTCATTCACTTGATACTCATTGTCACATGCCCAAGTTACTAATTCAGGAAAACGGGATTACTAACTTGATATGCCAAGATTATCTGAACCTCCAGGATGGTTATTTAGGAATATATAAAAGTGATTCAGTTTTAAGATACCAAAGTGTATTTGGAATAGGTGACTCGCGTCGGATAATTTCAGAAATCCGTTTTGCTGTCACGCCGGGTATATGACATTCAGGTATTGAGTATATGAATTTCATATATTTGATATAGGATTTTTTTCCGTGTGTCTCTTGATCAATCGTCATTTTCAAACCAACGTGTTTTGGTGTGAGTTTTTTGAATTTCGAATTAGCGAGTATTATACCTTGACATCAGATACTCAACACCTTTGAATCAATAACTGAATCAACTTTATCGGGTATAAGGCAACTAATTTAAAAAAGGTTTTTTTGTTATCATGTTCGTAAGCCTTGACATCCATATTTTTGAATTGTTTATATAATCTGGAATATCTCTCATATCTTGCTAAATATGTCAAAAAATTTGTGTATCTGGGTCATATCTGATGCATGCAAAGTCAGGGTAGTTATCTTCTGTAATTTCACTTTGTTCTATATATGTGTATGAATCAGATGAGTTCTTGTTTCATTTGGAATCACAATATACGACTCATTAGAACGTTTTGATTTATTTGATAATTTCTATCTCCTTGTCGTAATGTTTTCTGATTTCTTCGATAAATTCATTTTACTGGATTTTTTGAGATTTTCTCTCCTCGTTTCTTTGGACGTTTAGGGAACGAATCTACTCAGGTTCTCGACATGAAAATGCAAAACATTTTTTTTTGGAAGATGCATTTTCATGTTGAGGACGATACGTCTAAAGAAACGAGGAGAGAAAATCCCAAAAAAATCAAGTGAAATGAATGTTTCACCTCCTCGATTATAATCTATATACAGACAGTATTCTTCGATAATGATTTTCCTACCAGTTTTGCCACCAAGTTCGACATATTTCTGATATAAACAGTTAAAAGTATACCCTTTTCCATTAGAAAATCTGCACCATCTATTAATTTTATCAGATTATCAAATTCTCTGTCATGTGTGGTATTGACAACTTTATTCTCAGTCAGTGATCCTCTATAATGTTTCCAATTTGATATATACAAAGCATTGGCTATGATACTTGACTTCCATTGCAATAAACAATGTTGGTAGCCAATACTATGTCAAAACTTGACTCATATTTGAACGTTTTTGGTAGAAAACACACACATCTAAAATACAAAATTTACAAAGTGTTATTTCTGTTAGCAGGATTACATCTGATTCATATCCTTCACATCAATTTCACTATAGAAAGCGTTTTATTCCTGAGACTATTGTCTTCAGTTTCCAATATTCCTTTGTCAGAAGATCAATTGAACTTTATTTTCATTGAATATATCATCAATTCTCTGAAGTTCCACATCGATTTGCATCGCATAGTTTTTTCCGAGGTTTTTTCTCATATTCATACAACTTTCGAATGTTTTTGTCGATAATTCTGTACAACGAAGGAGTTGACCATCTTTTCCACAAATGAAACATTTTCTCGATGATTCTGTACTCTGCTGGAAAGGAATCTTCAACTTCAAGACATATTCAAGATCAGTGTCTGAATTGATAGTACTTTTCATCTTTTATCTAGAGAAACATATATTTTATGATAAATTTACAATAATAGATCTCGTTAGCTAACCAATACTTATTTAATTATTGAAACAGAGCACACAGTACCAAATATCGAATGATTAATTCACAATTAAATGCAATGGTCAACGCCTCAATGTTGATGTGTATAACGAAAGCGTATGGAACCATGATAGCCGCGGGTATTGCGGGGAGAATAGGGGTACGAATGCGGCGAAACGCGTTCGTCCGTGGTACCTGCATTGCATTATGCTTTTCCCAATATCTTCCTTATTTATGCTTCGATTTTCAAAATCGAAGAACCATTCGCATCTTGAAACATAGGCGCATCGACATTATTTGAAGTATTTTTTTGATAAACGTTGTAGTTACTGAGATAATGCGAGGTATATGAAAAGCAATTTAACGAAAATTTACAAGTTTCGAGTTATAGCCGTTTGAAATATGATTTTCTCATATATCATAATGAAATTGGTGAATTTCAAAATTTTCTATAATTCGTTCTACTTGTCACACGAAATCAAGATTCAGCAGGGTGAAAGTTCTGAAACCCCTCAATATTTTTCACGAATAAAAAAAAAATCCATATTTTTTTATGAATTACCCCCTACCCCCCAAACGCACAGGACGATTTTTTGACGACAAGTGGATCCATGATCTGGAGATGGTAGGTAACAATTCTAGCCATGTCACAGCTTTTTACCTCCGATTTCCCACGGGGTGAACGATAGGATTCGATTGGCACTCTACTATAATAATTACACAAATTTTTCGGGTAATTATATTTCATTTATTTTCCAAGTTTCAATGAAAAAAGATTTCATAACATTTTTTAGTTGAATAATACTACTTGATATCAATTAAAGAAGTGCGCTATGCTCAGTCACTGTTCACTGTTTTGAAGACAAATAGCATATCCACTGCGGTCTATGGCCTGTTGTGACTCTTTTAATACGAAAATGATTGATTTGCAATGGTCACATGATTGGTTTGGTAAACGGCCAATGCTAACTAGATTTAATGCATTACAATGTTTCTTTCATTGGGTTTAGAGACATGCATAGGTTTGGTTTTCATTTTTCCTTCTGAAACGAAGCTATTAGATGAAAAATCTAAGAGGGCAAAAAAATTTATTTTGAAATGCACGCCCCTGAAAATATGTAACTCATTCATGAACTGTAATAGGTCTATAAAAGTTAGCTCACTGATATTTCCACAATAGATGTGAATTTCATCACAATCGGTTATAGCATTTCTGAGAAATCAATAAATAATCGATTTTATAAAGAAACTTGAACACCCTCTATATCTCGAAAACCAAGCGTTTAAAGGTATATCTTCATGGGGAGTTTATTCATTATTTCAACGAGTACTATAAGCTGTTAAATTTTCTGTATTAAAAATCGGACCACCCTGTATATCGATAATCATCAATTTCTTATCGATATATTGAGAACAATGAATTAATTTCATTCATGTGACCCCTAGACGCTTTAGTAATATCCATACAATTGTTCTAATATATTTTTAAAATTAATTTTTATTTTTTTTTCGAAGATTTCTTCATGCATGACAATACCAGGTGACACAGGAGACATGTAACAGTCTGTAGTTTTTTTATTAGAAGAGAAAAAAATTTGAAATTCAAAATGGGAATATTATCGATAATGGCGCTTCCTTTGAACCTAATGACAATTTTCTTCAACCGCACCTGTTTGATCGGAAGTAGACCCAACTTTTTTTTTTTCAAATGGAACCCTGTATATTTCTGTAGCCAAAATTCTTCATTCAACTATGTATCACAATTTGATATCCGTTCATCAATTGGCTGTTAAATTGCATTTCATTGAAATACATGAAGTTGGCTGTGACCCGAAAACAATGACATTTCGATGCTTGATAGGCTTAGAAATCCAAAGATTATTACTTAGACGATATTATCCGAATATTTTCCATATCCTAATCGGTCCCAGAAGATTGCCAATAATTTTCTTGAGTTTGAAAAAATCATCCGAAAATAACTCACGGTTTTTTTTACCGCTTGGAATGCACAAAACGAAATCCCTATAATGTTCAAAGAACATCGTGCGTTCCTAGGGAGGATAGGGACAGGAGGTAGGTATTGGAATTTTTTTTGAACTTCTGGAGATTATATTTTGTTGGGAATACTTTCTCAGGCAATGAATTCCAGAGCCTAGCCGTTCTATGGATGAAGGATTTCTGATAAAGTGCTGTTCGACATCTTTCGAAGTTGACAACGGAAGGATGTGCTGACTGGGCTTGTCTAGTTCGTCTAACTGGTCTTGCTAGTGAAGGGATGATAGCAGAGATTTCTGAAGAACATTTTCCGTGGAAGTATCGATAGAAAAGTGAAAGGTCGCCGACCTTTCTACGGTGTTTCAATGATGTCAAAGAGTGAGTGAGTGTGGCGTCACCCACCAGGCGAATGGCTCTTCTCTGGATGGAATCTAAGAGCATCAGCGTATGTTTTGGTGCTGAACCCCATATGTGGGAACAGTATTCTAGAACAGGCTGTATCTGCGCTTTGTAGATTATGAGAAGCTGTTGAGGTGTAAAGTAGCTTTTCGCACGGAACAAGAATCCGAGTTTTTGTGAAGCAGCTTTTGCGATGGATCTTACATGATTATCCCATGAAAGAGTGTTGCTGATGGAAATACCGAGCATAGATATGGTGGGCTTGGTGGGGATGGTGGAGCCAAACATTACAATATCGGGTATACTGAGTTCCGCCTTTCTAGAGAAAATACAGCCTTGAGTTTTGGTGGCGTTGAATTCAACTAGGTTGTTGGTTCCCCAGGCTGTGATTTCAGCCAGATCTCCAATGACAGCAATGACCTGCCTGCGCCGTGAGTTCTTAGTTTCCTGGGAAGAAATGGGAATTCTGGCAGAGAACGCAGTATGGAGGGTACTATCATCTGCAAAGCTGTGGATGGGGCAATAAGTTGTTACTCTCAACAGATCATTAATATGAAGAAGGAATAATGTTGGTGCCAAAATTGATCCTTGTGGAACGCTGGAATTGATGCCAATGGTATCAGACGATACACCGTCCACCACCACGTGAAACGATCTGCCTGGAAGAAAACTCGATAAGAGATGGCATAGCTGAGGTGGTAAGCCGTATGATGGTAGTTTGTGGAGGAGTCCTTCGTGCCAAACACGGTCGAATGCTTTCGATATGTCCAACGCGACAGCTAGAGATTCCCCATGTTTTTCTAATGAAGCTTGCCATAAATGGGTGATGTTGGCAAGTAGATCTCCAGTAGATCTTCGGTGGACAACTAAGACGATATTATCAGAATATTTTCCATACCCTAATCGATCCCAGAAGATTGCCAATAATTTCCTTGAGTTTGAAAAAATCATCCGAAAATAACTCACGATATTAAGAAAACTAAGATAGAAACTAAGTTTTTTTCATTTGGTTACTTGTGAAGGAATTATTTGTCTTTCTTTTCTGCCATTTAGCCATAATATGATCATCCATTTGTATCATCTAACTGTATCGAACATTATTCTGTTAGTCTGTTTTCATTCATATTGATCAGAATAATCCATAAGTGCCCCCTCGCGCCCCCTTGAAATGAGATATCTGAAAAATCTCTAAAGAATCTCGAGATATTGACCATCAGGGCAGTTGATGCAGATGAGGAATTCTTGTTTTCAATCGCATTTGGTTATGGCAGCATTGGACTGAACAGGCGATTTCACCAAACTCGAAAAATTTTTCTAAAGAAGGAAATTGTTTTCCTGTTGAAGATGTTCATAATTTCGAAGAGATATGAATTCATCGCCTAGGTTGTGTTCAATGGTATAACAGGGCAAAATGGTTTTGAAATTGCCCACAGAATGTTTGAATCCGCAGTGAAAATCGAAAAAAATCGAATTCCATCATTCTGTATGAGGAATATCGAAAATTCCGAAACCATTTCGAGATATCATCTCAGGCGTTCAGAAGCTAGGGTTTGCAGAAAAAAAATGAAGTCATTCCTGTGGAATACAGAGACACTTGAAGTTTTTCGTTTCTGTAACACCTTTTTCAAACACTTGGTGTGTCATGACTGAGGAATTTCGATGTATTTCGAACGCTGAATCTTAAAGAGGAAGAACGCAGCTTTCAAGCACTGATTTCCGATTGAGAATCATTTCATTTTTCGAAAAATAACTTCAAATACAAAATTGGGAAAAATATCAGTGGTCCACTTAATTAGTTCTCATCATGAAGAATTTAACAATGCAGATGATAACGTAACCGATAGCAGAATCCTTATTGTTGAATTAACAATAGAACACACTACTATACTCAAAAGACACCATCAACTCAAACAAATGTTTCGAACGAAAATCCTTACATATTTTACCTACTATACCTACAGGGTGGAATAATGATGAACTATTTTTGACTAGATGAAATCACAGATTGAACATACGATATAATCATGTCCTCTTGTTACTTCACTCCAGTATAACTTCTACAAACTCACTCACTTCTCTGGAACACCGTAGAAAAGTTGGCGATCTGGCTCTATTTTGTGGATATTTTCATAAACGATGCTCTTCTGAAATATCAACAATTGTTCCTCCCTTGGTAGTCCCCGCGAGATTAACCCGTCGAGGTGAGGCTTCGCATCCCTTCGTCGTCACTTTGGAGACCTGCCGAACATCTCTTTCCAAAGACTCGTTCATCCAACGAACAGCGAGGCTCTGGAACGCATTGCCAAGGGAGGTGTTCCCCGAGGCATATAACCTCCAGGAATTCAAAAAGAACACCAATTCCTACCTTATTTCCCTTGGTTCTGACGATGTTCTCTGAACATTACAGGATATCCCTTTTCGTGAGAACCAATACATAAAAAAGTATTATGAATGAATTGAAGCGAATATCTTTATATGTGATGATATTCCCGACATACAATTCACCAGATCATATATGAAATAACCCTCTATTACCTATGATAGGATGAACACGGTCAGAGTATGTTACACTTTGCATCCTCAAGATCACACGGTCGAAACGCTTTATTCCAACTACTGCAAGAAACCGACATCAACGTAGCATACAGGGATGAACTCTACAGGACAGCTAGAGATATAAGTATCCAAGCTAATTTGCCGAACAACACAGAAGAAATCGACAGATATGTTCTTCACATCGCTACAAAAGGTAAGAAAGAAGCGAAATTCCTCTATCTTTATAAGAACTTCATATTCTTTAGGAGACACTGATAAGCTAGTAGAGCTCCTACTAGATGGGTATGACCACATAACGGACATAGTAGACAGTGATGAAATTCCGATAATAGAAGCAGTGTCTAAAGCTGATCAACCAGAGACTGTATCTTTCCTGCAATCCATCCTGGCTTTTGAGGTAAAAAACATAATTCAATCTCAATGCTGTGAAGAATTATTCATTAATTTCTTCATGTCGAATACTGCATTATTAAAAAAGTCTTGGAGATGACTTATCGTGTGGCCAGAATGGCGAAGTTTCTTTCTAATCAAATGAAAAAGAGGCAAAAAATGTTCTTAGAATTATTCAATTTTATACTCACAGATAGTTTTAAGCAATTATTCGAGACAATTTAAGAAGCATTGTTTATCTAGTTTAATTGCGAAGTTCATTCATTAGTGAAACTTGAAGACAAATACGATATTTTTGAAGTGTCATATCATCTCATCACATTAGCAGCTTCATTCTGGTATACCTGACTGTAAGATACGAACCAATGTAACAGCGAGGGTCCTCGAAAATCCAATTTTTTCAAACCCATATCCCGTGCTATCTGGTGTGAAGAAAACGAGATTGCTTTCGTATTTTAATGCAAATACAAGTACATCACTACTGTCAACCTATCCAGGAGAGAAAAGTTAGATAACTGACGGAAGATCGATAAATATTCTTGCTTTGAACTTTGTAAGTGAATATCAATTGAATCCCGAGCTTTTTCAGATAACTTTCGTAAATATACGTTGCCATCTAACCCCTTTTTTTTTCTTTCGTTTTCATAGTAAGTTTTTTCAAATCACCGCCATACCAGTGACATGTGCCAAAACCGATTTTCAGGTTATTGTACATGCGCATAATGAAAATTACACAGGAAATTTCACACCGAACATTTTCGATCAATTTACCTCGTATCGTTACCATAGCAACTAAACAAATTTCTTAGAAATTTTTCCCTCCTCCTTGGGGGACGGATCATAAAGTTACACTGGAAATTTTTTGACGTTGATAGGTTGAATGACATTCACTTTCAACTTCAGATTATTTCGAGTTTATTCTATAAGTCAATAAATAAAAATAATTCATCAAGCATAAATGATATTATGTAGATATATACTTGCAAATTCGAAATTTACAAAAATACATGTTGTTACTATACGTTAGTTCTTACATTTAATCACAAAAAACCATCATTTTCATATAAACAACTATGCTATCATACCAACTCTTCAGTTACGACATGAAGAATGACATACGTGAATAAAAAAATATATCATTCTTTTGAGTTAACATACAAAGCCTACTATTCAAATGTCAAAACCATCAAAAATCGTCATTATCCAAGTGAGTTTTTAATAATATTTCTGTGTGGAATTTTCTTACCGAATACCACTTTAGCTTCAATTAGTATCCGGGAATTTTTCCGGAAATAATTGAAGCTCTCGTGATATTATAAATGATAATAAACTTTTTATGTAAGCACCTAGTCTATATGAGTGGAAACGACTTCATAGTCGGGGACTAACAAAATCGCTTTTTAGCTCTGTGTAAACTTGGCAGCTCACCAATGACGTCAGCAGAATGGTGAAGGAGCCAGAACTTATTCTTATATTTTTTTACTGAACAAACATCTGATCATACAACCGTTTTTTATAATCAAGCACTGTTGTAATAATTCTGGCTGATTTGAATGAAGGGATCTGATCCAGTTTATTTTAATAATATAGTAGAATATTAGAGCGACGATGTCACCAGATCAGTTATATACGCATATCATACACCCTGATGAAATGAACGTTGGAAAGCTGTCAAATTGAATTGTATATTCTTCATAATTTCGTAGTCCGCTGCTAGAATACTATCCTCCATACTCATAATATACAACAAAACACTGTTTTATCCACAGATAACATTTTCTTCAGGAATCCTAGATCCCGTCAAGGCTTAACATGTCTGGTCTTCTAGTTGTCAAGGGGTGGTTGGAATACTTAAGTTCAATAAAAATACATTGGTTCAAATCATACGTATACCCTATGAAACTAAAAATGAATGAAAAAACACAAAGTGCTCAGTGAGCGAAACAATCAAAATAAACTGTTCGAATTTTTAACCTTCTAAAGAACCCTATTAACAATAATCTGAGAAATACCGACCATAGGTCAAATTATGGAAACCCAAAATTCTGGCATTTGTGAACTCTTTCCAATTCGTTCCGGTTAAATCTCTGACTCCAAATCCATCTCTAATTCCGCTTAAGTCATCAAAAACGCTATTATAAGATCAGTTTTTTTGTCGACAAATTCCTAATAGGTATGATTTCATAAAGAAATTACCCCTTTTCTTTTTGATAAAAACGCAACTGTCCAAAAGGATGTATGTCTCTGAGAAATTCAGAGTACTCTGATTCCAGTGGTGTTCACGGAGTTTTTTTAAGAAAACCGCTAATATGTATTCTGGAATTTTCTGCCTCTGGAATGTGATCTTTTCCCCCTGTACATAAAAAAAATCTTGATATCGCTCCATAAAAAAATGTATGAGAGTGGCTTGCTTTCAAATGGGTCACTTTGTATATCGGTCCGAGACATATTCTTGGCGCCAAGATTAAATTTCAAAGGGCTGTTTATAATCTATATTTCCGTCGACACTTGCTTGAAAAATAAACTTCGTCCTTATGCCTTTTGAATTCCCATCACAGAAGCATCTTTTTACAGGGTGATTCTGTTACACTGTCAGATCAAACACATGTATTGTGTGTGTGCACACCTTTATCAAATTCGTCGTTTTTCAGGAGAAACGAGAAAGGGTCCACCACGCCATCAGACAGGGCTCCATCAATGACGTCACCACCTTGCTGGCAGACGAAAATGACACCGGCAGCGGTAAACTGTTGGCCATCGGCAAAAATAGCTATGGCAGGAGTACGATGCACATAGCTGTTTTGTGTCAGCAGGAAGAGATCATCGACTATCTAGCTAATTCGTTTCCCGATACACTGAAACTCGGAGATAACGTGAGTTTGGAAAATTTGCCATTCCCATACCTATACCCATTGTCTGCTAAATATGGAGAAAAAATCTAGTGAGCTGGAACTACTCCAGCTCACTAGATTCTTTCTCCATATTTAGCAGACAATACCTATACCTATACATGATTGCTATAATAGCTTCTTATGAAATTTAAAAAATGAGATAGTACTGAAAATGAAATGAAATGTCATAACGTTTACAGTAAGAGGAAACTCGAAGTCATCTTCCCCCACAGTGATCCAACTACACAAATGCGAACATTCTTCGAATACGCCTATGGTTCGATGGCTCAAAATTCGTTCCTTGAACACAGATCACCTAACCACATAGGTGTAAAAAATTGACCTCCTGATGCCCTAAACGAATTTGTATGTGCTAGAGGGAATTACTTCTACATTGATGGGTTGATCTTCGTTTCAACCACTCCACTTCACTTGATTAAATGATTAAAAATATTCTTATATTTTCAAGTTCCATTATGGAATTTGATCAGATACTTGTGTTTGCAACGCAATTGGTCGATACATGAGTATATTTATCACGCTGAGTTGCTCACTACTTGTAAGGACGGGAATGACTAACCTTTGGTACCCAACCCGGATACTCATCAATCTTCAACTTGTCTTGTTCACTCTTCAGTTATCAATCTTTTCTATCGACCTCTTGCCAATGGGCGAGTGGACTGATGATGGATTATTGGCATTCAATTACTCCAGTGCCGTTAGGAACCTCAATTAACTTTTGCAATACTTCTCACGCTTTTTTATTTAAATAATGATTCTATGCGTTTTTCGAAATTGTTAAATTTCAGAGCTTATTTCAAACGAACCTTCATGGCCGCCATTTTGGCGATACGTCCACGATACGTCGAATAAATGATGACGTCAGTTTTTATGCTTTTTCGATATTGGTCAGATGATCTTCCATTTACACTCATGAAGCAAGGTTATCAAGTCACCAGTTATATAATCATGGACATGAAAAGTGATTTAGAGAAAATATTCTCTTGGTTACAAGTTCATAAACTATCTCTCAATTATAACAAATCCTCATATATGTACATAGCAAAAAGAACATTGAACATTTCAAATAGAACACTATCCTTCAACAATGAACTTATCAAATATACAGATGTTACAAAATTTTTAGGTCTTTATATTGATGAACGACTATTGTGGAATAAACATATAGATCATTTGAGGAACAAACTCAATCCTATTACAGGCATTTTATTCAAAATACGAAATTTCATTTCTACCAGATACTTGAAGAGTATATTTATTTCTCTCTTATTTACTCAAAATTTCAATACCTAATATCTATATGGGGAAGTACCAATATTTCACGTTTGAGTCCACTAATGAAATTACAAAATAAAACATTGAAGTGTATTTTCAATTTAAATTTTCTCGAACCAACCATGAATTTATACAAACCTAGAGATTTATTAGATCTGACATCACTATATAAACTTAAAATATGTTGATTTATTCAATTTGTTCTATATAAATTGAAAATTTCGAATTCAAATTTCAATGAAATCAATTCATTGCATAATCATGGAACAAGACAATCAAATTTACTAATAGCAAATACGTTCAAGTCAAATATCGGCAAACAATCAATTTTTCACACAGGAATCGTTCTATACAACTCATTACCAAGTCAATTGAGGAATATACAGGAAGCAACTAGATTCAAAATTAACTTAAAAAAATATCTGCTTCAGAGACTTTGATAATTCCATTTCCAATTTGAATACCTACTTATAAAAGACTAGGTTGATATTGCATGATTATTTGCATTTTTTTTTTACTTGTTATATCTTATTATAATTTCATAATTGTATGTATAACACTATGTATATTGTTTATGTATCCCTATTATAAACAACTATGTTTCTTGGGGTAATAAAGACAATCAATCAAAAGATGTTAGAGTCAGTTCATTCTTGACTTTTTCGGGCAACCAGCATGTCCAAATATTTCATATTCTCCATAACAAAATATCATGTGAATGTTGGAGACTTTGTGCTGAATGCTGAGAACTGACAAGACCTCGCCCACAATTCGTGCGCCGTGTTGTCACGTTCACCGATTCAAATGTCCTTTAATGTGAATTGGTATATGATAATTATTTACACAAAATTACAAGCAATGAGCCCCGAATCATAAGGGAACGTTTTGAGACAATTGCATTTTTATTGCTGATTAGGAATATTACCAATACTCAATTGAAAATTTATGAATTATTAAATAACTGATATTTCTGAAGTTCTCAATCGTATTTCAACACATGGCAACTGTGCTATGGTCTGCCCCTGCTTATGAAATCGTGGCATCATTTGTTACTGGCGGTAAATTTCTAACCGTTTGGAAATTTCCGTTGCATTATTGATGATTTCAGAACATGAAAACCGGCCGAAAAATTCTTAAAAAGTATTGAATTGAAAGGTATTTGAATGATGATCCTATTCAAGGAATGAAAATAAATTAGTCCACTCGCCTGGTACTGGGTGTCCCAACTCTATTTATACACGCATTTTCTCGAGAACTGGTGACATTATCAACGTTCTGAAAAAATTAGCTCAAATGAGGAAGAGTCCCCTCGATAAACCACCCCTTAGCAGATACCACTACATTTTTTTTCACATTACACCAAAATATTATTATGGTATGTTTGAGTAGCTTATTAGCTTAAGAACACAATGCTGTATCATACTCTCCACGAGTACTCTATAGATAATGTAAAATCGACAACGTGATAGCATATCATATAATGAATTTTGTCTAACATCACCAGTAGTTTATCGAAGGGTAGTTTTAAAGACTAATTTGTGTCCATTACTCTTTCTCATTTAAGCCAGTTGTTTCAGAACGTTAATAATGTCACCCATTTTCAAAAAAATGCTTGTAAAAATAGCTTGGGACTACCTCCGATATAAAAAAAAATCTTTTTCGTTACCTACCATTTCTGCGAATAGTACAAACATGTTTTTTCAGTGTAGATCGAAGGAAAATGTCAACGTTTGAGCTATCGAACACGAAGGACGGCATTACAGCTTTCTCATTTTTTGTCATCGAATGTCAACTGTCAGAAAGTTGATATTCGATGAATTTTTGTAGTTGGGAGAAAAATTCATCGTTGATTTCTCACATCACCGTTCGACCTACACTGAAAAAACATGCTTGCACTATTCGCATTCTGTGGCATATTCATAACGAAAGAACTATTAATTTATTCTATGATATTTGTGATGGAAAAGCGATGTGTTTTTGCGATTAAACTACGATGTGGTGCGAGATGATATCGCATTAAAACGAAAGAGTTTCTTCAAACATGGTGTACACCATCGAATCCTGTCCATTCAATCGTCTCTTCAGCGGCGCTATCTTTGGTACCTACGAATTTCTATCATAACGTATTCGTATCACAAATCATGTAGTGTGTGTCACCAAGATGTAAGCAAAAAAAGAATGTTTTCATAGCAATGTAACGAATGTTTGCGAATTCAGCTTCACTTTGCTTTCATTTTTTGAAAATTCTCGCATATGAGTTTGCTTCTGAGCATCGCAGCGATGCAACATTCGTGATATCGCAGTATTGCCTCATCGCGACATCTCAGAGATGTCATGTCACAGATGTATTTGTTTTTGTACATCGTAGTGATGAATATTCATGATATCAAAGTGGTGCTTCATCGCGACTTCTCAGAGATGTCATGTTGCAGATGTGTCTGGTTCTGAACATCGCAGCAATTAAACATTCGTAATATCGCAGTTTTGCCTCATTGCGACATCTCAGAGATGTCATGTCGCAGATGTGTTTGGCTCTGTGGATCACAGCGATAAAACATTCGTAATATCGCAGTTTTGCCTCATCGCGACATCTCAGAGATGTCATGTCGCTGATGTGTTGGCTTATGTACATCGCAGCGATAGAACATTCGTGATATCGTATAGTGTTGCCTCATCGCGACATCTCAGAGATGTTATTTTGCAGATGGATTTGCTTCTGTACATCGCAGCTATGAAACATTCGTAATATCGCAGTGTTGTCTCATCGCGACCACTCAGAGATGTAATGTCGCAGATGTGTTTGCTTCTGCACATCATTATAGCGATGCAACATTAGTAATATCGCAGTGTGGCCTCATCGCGACATCTAAGAGATGTCATGTCGCAGATGTGTTTGCTTATGAACATCGCAGCAATGAAACGTTTGTGATATCTCACTGTTACCTAAACGCGACATCTCAGAGATGTTATGTCACAGATGTGTTGGCTAGCTTTGAAACCGTTTCATTTTTCAGCTGGAAAGGACCGCTTTGCATTACGCCATGGGAGTGGAGAAAATGGAGACCATAAGCAGAGTGCTGATCAAGGCCGGCGCCAAACGTGTCACCAAAGACCTCAAGGGCAGACAGCCGACATACTACTTTTTGAACAAGTCGGACATACAGAGGCTGCAAGAGGAAGAAGAGACGTTCTGAGAAAATTCAAGAAAAGGCTGATGAGATTTTTGTATTGGAAATATTTGTCATATTATGTCGGGATTTCCCTGAACGGTTTACCGTTTCATGCGTTGATGGAAGATATTGAAACATTTTATCTAGTCACATCATATAGTCCATTCTAGTTATTAATGTTCACCTTTATATTTTTATACACATAACTATACTTATATGGTTTTTAGTGATATTTATGGTATTAGAATACAGCAAGTCAGTTTGACATTATACTTTGCTTCCATACACTCTACCCTCTCCTGTATATGCCAAAATGTTATCATGAGCTAAAAAAATGCCGGTTAAATAAAATAAGTTTCTTGTTTTTTATATGGTTTTGAAGTATTTTTTTTTTGGTTGTTTGTTTTAAATAAATAGAATGTGAATCGGCGCGCTATGAGACACTATTGTTTCAACGATTTAAACTATGGTTTTTAGTCATGTCATTCTGGAAATGAATTCAAACTTCACAAATACAAGCAAGAGCTATTCTCTTGTTTATTGATTTTATTGGATTATGACTGTTAAAGTTACCAGCATTTTTGGCATTTCAATACACTGTAGAAAATTCCTCTGAGTGAATGCATATGTGGTTGTGAGTGAATTTACTGATTGACATTTTTGAGTGAATTCTCAACTCGAACTAGATATTTCATCAAGTTCTCATATCAATGAGAATGTTTATAAAAAATTTGATTGAATCGGTTCATGAATTACCATTTTACACAGTCCAGTTCCAGTGTAGGAAACATTTTTGAGGAAAATTACATATTCGTACCGTCAGACTTGTAACATTTCATAAATTCCATTCTGTAAAATTGATTGAAACTTGAAAGATCAAAATCATGTTATTAATTTCTTGAGGACACAGTAATTTCATATTTGGCTTCATATTTCAGCTCATTTTAACGTTTTTGTATTTTAGATGATAAGGATAAGCAATAAGGATTGTTGATTATAACCAAAATAAATTCATTTTTATGTGTGTTTTCATGAATTATTATTTGCTCTTGCTATTCAAAATAAAAGTAACAAGACTGAATCCTGGTGATGAAGTATAGTTATTTATTATACACGGAAAAAAGTTGTATATTTTAGCTCCGGGTAAAATCTAATAATGCACTATCTTTTTCTGTGAAAGGAGAAAAAACGAATCGATATTGAGAAGATATTTATTATACAAGGTCGCTGATATGTATGGAAACGGTCGATTATCATCTCTTGAAGTAAGATAGCTGAAAAATATTAGAATACAAAAGTCTTAGAGTTTATCAAAATCTACCATACTAAATGAAAATTGAGTATGCAGCATTAGTCAACAAATCTTGAATAAATAAAGTTGCTTCATCTTCAATAGAACACCCTATATATTATAATATATTTCAATTCTGCTAAAAAATCTGAACAAAATTGATGAAGCACATCATTTTCTAAATTTAACCGTTTTCCAGATATCGAATTTCAATAATAACTTTTCATTACTCCCAAATTATTATTATTAAAGAAAAAGCACGAAATTATAGATATTTATTATGAAAGTATCACCACAAGGTGGAGTATGTGGATATGATTGAAAATATCCACTACTTGGACTTCGTCTTCTATGACCATATCCTTTGATCATTTAAATTTCAATACGTTCAGTAAACGTTCCATTTTCAAGCGAAAATTATTCACACTAAATGTATTTTTGACATATGTGCTGTCAAGATTATCACTGTTAAACAAAAGAACGACGCGGCGTTGTTATGGAGCTGGAAACTTTCAAAGGTAACTTGATGGACTATGAACTTAATGGACTACAACATTCTTGGATTTCAAGAAAGGTATTCCTTGTCCAAGTCGAAAATGGTTCCAGTACGAATGCAATGCAATGCAAGCCGACAATGCACGCAAATTATTCAAAAAGCGCAAAAGTAACCTTTGCAAAAACAATGATAAAAAACGATTAAAAAATGTGTCATAATGACACTTGTCAAACTAATGTAATAATTGTTAGAGGTGTTAAAATATAATTGTTAATAGTTATTTTTGTATCTAGAGCGCGAAATGCTACTTTGGTGATCGAGATCTGATTTTTTTAACGAGGCGTAGCCGAGTTGAAAAAATAGTCGAGATGACCAAAGTATTTCGCGCTCGAGTTGCAAACAACATTTTTTCTACAAACGTAAAAAAATATAGTTCTGAAGTAAAAATATGCTTAGCTTGATATAAAAAATAGTGTTGAACTGGCTTAAAAGGCCTCCTTCTATTCTCCCTAGGTACGCACGATGTTCCACGAACATATTTGGAATTTCTTTTCGTGCGCTCCAAGAGATAAAACAGAGTTATTGTTGAACATTCAGAAATGAATGATTTCGTGGACGTTTGCTCGATTGAGGATCATAAAGTTGAAATATAAATATCTCATATATTTTACATAACAATGCGCGAAGTAGGTACTTCGCGCACTGTTTCACTTCGCGCATTTTTTTGGGCAAGGTATCATGGTAACGTAGGAAACTGAAAAAAAGTGTCACTTCGCAATTTGTTATCAATGCGCTAACCTTGTCATTTTTTGACGCTTGTAGAAAATAGTTATTTTTGTATCTAGAGCGCGAAATGCTACTTTGGTAATCGAGATCTGATTTTTTTAACGAGGCGTAGCCGAGTTAAAAAAATAGTCGAGATGACCAAAGTATTTCGCGCTCGAGTTGCAAACAATATTTTTTCTACAAACGTCAAAAAATATAGTTCTATAGTAAAAATATGCCTAGCTAGATATAAAAAATAGTGTTGAACTGGCTTAAAAGGCCTCCTCCTATCCTCCCTAGGTACGCACGATGTTCCACGAACATAATAGGAATTTCCTTTTGTCCGCTCCAAGAGATAATAGTTATTTATGTAATAAGGATCATAAAGACGATCATTATGGTACAAGTCGTGAATGTTATCGGGCGAGGCGTAGCCGAGTCCGATAACACGGCGTGTGCCATAATGATTGTTTATGATTCGTATTACATACAAAATTTAATCTGATGGCATTTATATCAATACATTTTCGAAAAATTAAAAACTGCATTTTCGACATGTCACAATGACAACTATTTTTAAAGGAGTAAGTATTGTGTAGTTCCAAATATTAGTAGGTGAGTGAGCTGTGCTTTGCCATTATATTAATATTACAAATTGTAGTAATTGTTCTTTTACCAGTTATAATAAATAGTTTTGTACATAGTTATTCATATTCAACACCCAGAATTTTTTAACCCAAGGCCTATGTGTGTGGGACTATGCGGACAGGTCCGTAAAAATATGTACAGTGTGTCCAGTTTTCGATGCTTTTGTGTGATATCTCAATTATCTTTCGAGATAGAACCTTGCGGGTTTCGCGGTCGTGTGCCACTTTTTTAAGAAACTCAAGATGGCCTAATCAGATTTTGCATAACTGCATAGCTGTTTCCGTTTATGAGATTTTTTTTCTTGGTATGGTTTTGGAGATACGACTAAAATTTATGATTTCTTAAATGGAACACCATGTATTTTATAAGCTCATTGAATTCCCCATTTTTTTCTCTTCAAAATGATTTATAATGTATATGTATATAAAATTTTCAAAAATGCTCTGAAATCACTGAAACATTGAATTTTAATAGTGGGCTATGGATTTTTCTTATAAAAAAGTTCCTATTGAAGGAATATTCATTTTGATTTTTCCATAAAGAGGACAAATACAATACCAACACTAATTAACTAAGAAAACACAAGAATTATGTACCTGATAGCAACAAATAAATAGTAATAAAAAGTTCATAATGTAGAATAAGCACCAGATTAAATATTTACAAATACAATTGAATTTCGGAATTATTCAATAACTTATTCACTGAATTGATGTCCATTTTCCATAACACACAATTGACACAGTTTCTCAATACGTCTTGATACAGTAAGAGTCACAAATATCTTGAAGAACTTCGTGCAACAACATAGGCAGTTTTCCAGGAATTACAAAGACATCCTTTGATGATTTTGAATGCATTAAGACGTATTGAGAAAGCGTGTGAGGGGAAGTGGACATCAATTTGAACAATTCAATGAATAAGTTACTATTCAATTGTCTTAGTGAATATTAAATCAGGTGCTTATTCTAGAATATGAACTTTACCATTCATTTGTTGCTATCAGGTACCTAATTTTTGTGTTATCTCAATTAACTAGTGTTGGGATTGTTTTTGGTCCTTTTCATGGAAGAATCAAATGAAATATTCCTCCAATTGGAACTTTTTTTAAATAAAAAATCCATAGCCCATTATTAAAATTCAATGTTTTAGTGATTCTGGAGCATTTTTGAAAATTTTATACCTATTTATCATATTTCATTTTGATGAGGAGAAAACAAGGAATTTAATAAGCTTATAAAATTCTGGGTATTCCATTTGAAAAATCATAAGTTTGAGTCGTATCTCCGAAACCATACCCAGAAAAAAAAATTTGAGTGCGCCACTGAATTCTGCGCAAAATTCTGTACGGGATAAGATTCTAATTTGACATTTACGCCGAGAAACTTCGTAGATATAGAGGGGGTCCAAAAATTATTAATTTTCAAAATCGCCCTGTATCTCATAAACGCAAACAGTTATGCAAAATCTGATTAGGCCATCTTGAGTTTCACAGAAAAGTGGTACAGGACCGCGAAAACCGCAAGGTTCTATCTCGAAAGATAACTGAGATATCACGCAAAAGCATCGAAAACTGGACACACTGTACTTGCATTACTTGCCACTGTCATACCCTGGAGAGGACATATCCGAAAACAAAAATCAAAATTCATCTCTATTTTTTGTCTCATGTAAAGGAAGTATTCGATAGAATATAGTTGGCAAACACATCGAAGCATTGGCACACGATTTAACAAACATATTGCTCACCTCATACAGACATAATCGGTTTGATGAATCGAGCGTTGCCAGAAATATTCTTGAGAATATTCACCATGTATCTCTCCTATTAGCAAACTTTTATCAAGATGAGCTGACTCAAATCATATCGTTTCAAAGTAATCATGTATACGCAGATAGGTAATCATCAGGTCTACCACTATACGTTGTACCACGTGATACTGATAACTATTTTTTGTCTCATGTAAAAGAGGTCTTCAATAAAATATATTGGGCAAACACATCGAAGCATTGGCACACGATTTAAAGAACATATTGCTCACCTCAAAAATAATCGGTTTGAAGAATCGAACGTTGCCCGAAATATTCTTGAGAATATTCACCATGTTTCTCTCTTATTAGCAATATGTTATCTAGATAAGTTGACTCAAATCATATCGTTTCACTGTCATCATGTTCATGCAATTATTATTATTATTATTATTATTATGTAATCATCAGGTCTACCAATTCTGGCTATACACTGATACCGCCGAAAAATAAAAGTGACCCTGTACAGTATATATAACTATACGTTGTACCACGTGGTACTGATAATCTTGACATTTTGAGTGAGTTTAACAGTCATTGTCATCTTTATAGTTTTTTTCCTAGTTTTTTTCTGAATCAGAAATCTCCTTGAATAGTATAATTTGAGACACCTTCTTTCATGCTCGATCACCAACGTATATGTTCCCCAAAATTAGCCCCTACCCAAAGTTGGTCATCGGGGAGCTTGAAAAACGAGCCCCAAAAAGTAATAAGGAAATTCATAAACGCCGCAGTTTACGTGGAAAAACAGATAATGCCGCCCCTGAGGAAAAAGAGCCCGCTGTATCTGGATACTGCAAGTGACGGAGGAAATACCAGCAGAACCATTTCCACGGACAGGTCCGTGAAAAGATGTACTTGCATCACTTCCCCGAAAACTTGCCCCTGCCACCCCATGGAGGACAAACCCGAAAAAAAATTGGACAACTGCGACTCGTCCTCTTCGAGCTCTGACGTCGGCAGCCAGATAACGGTGAAATCCAAGAAGATAACCTCATTTGCCAAACAAGACTCTGAAATGAACCTCTCTTTGACCAGCCTGTATACGGGTAATGATGCAATATTCAAAAAATAGTTAATTATAAAGGTCCTTTTAGTAACGAGCATTTTAAGCACGAGCGCTGTCTGAAACTCAATAACAATAAAACTCAAAATATTGTATTATCTACTGATAACGCTATTAATCATTCCATAATTACGTCATTTGACAGGTTGCTGAGGGGCAAACATTGTATTTTGCCAAGATTTGTAATATAAAACCAGAATAAGTTGGATCGTTTTCCTTGGAATCCGAGTTGGAACCAGGAAGAATTCCATAATTTTGTTTGGTGAAACTGTTATTATATTGTGGATGTGGCAGGCATGGCCAGGGCTGAGATGTTTCTAATTCCTAAAACATCTCAGCCAGGGCTATGCTCATCAAAGGTATGAAAGGTAACCTAAAACCTAACCAGATAGTTTGTGTGCCCCTCAAGAAACCATGTCAAAATCACGTGTTCTAGAATGATTAATTCCCAAAGGTTCTGAAGTTCGAGCCCACAGTGTTATTGCCGCTCTCCAAAGATTACCGCGCTCCGCTCCGCATCGCGCGGTAACTTTCTTTGTCGAGCGGCAATCTATCACTTTGCGCTCTAAATACACAAAAAGCTATTGAAGGAGCTGAAAACATTTGGCGATGCAAGCACTAGTGCGTATGTACCTACTCATCTGGAGGTGCCTACCTGCAAGGTACAAATTGGAATCATGCCTCAATTAGTAGCACAAATATCCTACATATTTAATCAAAAACTTTGAGAGCTTCTCCTGGAAAAGTATGAAATGTGAGATACACCACTACGTGTTTTGAGGGACGAATTGCGAAAGCGAATTAGAGAGATAGTTGTTGTCCATCAATATTCGTAAATTATGAAATACTTCTTTTGCCGTGTATCTAAATCCTTAATTGTTATATTGCAAAAAAACAATTTTGATTTCTTAACTTCAACGCCCTGTATCTTGAGAACTGAACACTTAAAGACCGTATGTCCCTATCTCAGTGATTATGAAATCACGAGAGCTATCACCTGTCAAGCGTTGTCGGTCGAATTTCGCAACACCCTGTATAGAAAAAAGATCAAATTCTCACTCATCTTTGGACGTTTCGGGAACGAATATGCCCCCAAAAAATCTGGAATAATGAATATACCACATACAGACCGCACCGAAAGGTTGGACCCCAAAGAAAAAGAGACTATCATCAAAAGCTGGCTGAACAAAAAAGACATGGAGAAGAAGAAGCAGGAACTGAAGGAAGAGAAGAGTAGAGAAGCGAAGCAAAGAGAAAGAGAGTTGATTCGGGAGAAGGAGAAGGAAAACTTCCAGAAGTGGTTGGCAAGGAAGAAAGACAAAGAGGCGGCGAAGAAGAAGGAAGAGGAGCGGAAAAAGGAAGAGGAGAAGTTGAAGGAGGCAGAGAAAGAGAGGAAGCAGAAACTGAACGAAACGTCGTATCAATCTTGGTTGAGGAGGAATAAGAGAGTCGAACTTGGTATGTGATGGTCCAAACGGAATCATTTAGATCTACTTAATCGTGTCCAAGATGAGGATGTTTGTCTCTCATGGTGATCTCGGAAACCATGAGATACAAAGATAATTAAATTAGCCTAACAATATGTCGTTTAAAAAGTTTTGAGATTCTGAGTAGTTCCGGATATATGCCTAAAAAACAGAAATTTGTCGATTTCATTTTTATTTTTTCCTGATGTTATTCTAAGAGATATAGGAAAACAAGAGACTCTTTCTCATTGTTACTATTCTTTACTTTTCTCGACTCATGTTCATGAAAACTGTACCTCCTATTTTTGGTCGAAGAAGTCGCTGGTGGAGTTTGGCAGGCTATAATTTCGGGACACCCTTTATAGGAAGCATTATCGGACACATGTTCTTAAATATGTAGAATCATCTCCTGGAGTACGCACGAATGTTATTCTGGGACACTCTGTATAACAATACTTAGAATAACTCTTTGCAAAATGGCGAAATATTGAACTACTCGCTGCGCTTTTGGTCACATGATCTAATCCAATATTCACATTCAGTGTAAAATACACAGTGGCCACGTTTATACCGTGTCTTGGTAAGCTGACTAATGACTATAGTTCAAATCAATACTCTTAGTCAGCGTGGTATAAGTGGCAGTTATTTCATGAGTCTTCATTACAATATTTCATTCAATTTCAGCTAATTCCGAATCCTACGAAAAGGTTTCTTTCTCAATTTACGAATTCAAGTGGAGTTCCACAACCCAACCTCAAAAAAAATCAAATCAAAACAAAGTTGGTAACGTAAGTCAACTGAAGATACATAGTGTAAACATGCGTTGACTAAGGCATCTGGTCTGAATTTAGTTAGATCCCAGCGAGCACAAACATCCCTGGGATGTTTTGGGATGTTTTGAAAATGTTGGCATGAAGATGTTATTTTGAGACGTAATATGCACTGACCAAAGAGGTCTTTGAAGGATATTGAAGTATTGTTTTTGTTCTTCTGTGGCATTTCTTTGTTTGCCTACTGAGAGGTATCCCTGGGATGTTTTGGGATGTTTTAGAAATGTAGGCATGAGGATGTTTTTTTGAGGCGTAATATGCACTTCCCAAAGAGGTCTTAGAAGGATATTGAAAGTATTGTTTTCGTTCTTTTGTGCCCTTTCTTTGTTTGCCCCACCACAACGTCTCATGCTTACGTCACAATACGATGAATTCTGATTTGTTTTCGATTTTGTTCTTCTTGTTCGCAATTGGCATTCGCGTTTGCAGCGTGTCACGCTTACATCACGCTGCTAACGAACAGAAAGGAATTTGGTGAAGTTTATTGTGTTAGGAGACTTATTTAGTTTGTAATAATGACCATCAGATGCAAGATGTGTTGTTCGGTGCCTCAGTGTAATCAATATATAAAAGTACGAATTTATCAATACACAGCTTCTCCACAGTTGCAAAATTATGCATTGTGGAGACCATTTCAAAAATTGGGAAACCTATTTCCAATTATATGTCTGTGTGTAGTAAGCACTACTCAGAAACCGATTAAGAAGGTAATTTCATATCAAGAAAATATTTCATGTTCAATAATTTATTGTTAATGCATTTTTTCATTCAAGGGAAATGGAATCCTAATGCAAAAGTTCATTTTGACAAAAGGCTTCAGAAAAGTACCTCGAAAATGTTTTTTTTACAGCGATATAATGTGCGCAAGACGCGTTGAAAATGTTCTGTTGTGTCCATGAAAAGGCTTTAAAAAGAACTAGGGAGAAGGTAATTTTCTGAAATATCAAGGACATCTCGATAATTGCCGCCTGCGGCGGACATTGACTGTTCTATAATAGTTCTATTCATGTGTGAACAGAACATCGCAGTGGAGGTTCAATGTCTCGAAATCTCGTACTTTTAACATCTCTGAGATGTTTTTGTGCTCGCTGGGATCACCTTGGTAAGCATACAACGGTATAAACGTGGCCAGTCATTTTGCAACTTGTTAATCAACTAGTTTATATGTTCTACTATTTCAAGTTTTTGAACTATGACTGTATCCTGCATCCCTCATGAAATGTTACAGAACGCAAAATCAAAGAAAAGCTAGCCTTAATACAATTATATGAAGAGAAACAGAAACGTCTAGAAGAAAATGAGAAAGCCTTCATGGACTGGTTTGAAAATTCTAAAAGAAAACCGAAACCTGTAGCTCTGAATCAAGGACTCAAAAGTTAGTATAAGATAGAGTGCCTCGAACATCTCATTTAACGCTCTTTGAAGAATGTGGACACACTTGTCATCTTTATAAAATGGCTGAATAAAAAACATGGGACACAAATGTTTTTTCGTCGACCTCTACAAAAATTCACATTTGACGTTCTAATTTCCGAACCGAAAACCGACTATTTCCAAAGGGAAGCACAATTCAGAAATGGCAGTGGTGACAAGCGTGTCCACACTCTTTAAAGGGCAAAAAATTAGATATTCTAGGCACTATAGTATAAGGTTGTTGAAAGTATACAATGTGATCCACTCGAGATTGGTATACGAGTTTCAACCGAGGTTTTATCCGCTCCTTTTTTTTCATTCCGCAGAAAGAGTCCCTATTATAACGGCTACGTTCACAGGCTCAACTTCTGAATGTTTACTTTGCTGTTGTACCTATATTCCCATATTTCTCATAATATTGCCATTTGGATATGTTCGTGAAATGTCAGCAAAATATTTGTCTCACAGGAAAGGGTAATACGGCTAATATAAGGAATAGACTACAGAAAACAACACTTTATTGAGAATAAAATCTTGTGTGTACCATGCATTTACGAATGTATTTCATTATTCAGAAAACGAATGCAGAATTATGATCGAAACTGTGACTTTCATACTGATCCTACCAGGCACGGTGAATTGGTAAGGCTTCAGAAACATTCAACTCGTCTTTATGAAAATTGTCCATCTTATAAGGGAGCCAAATTCTATAATCACTTATCTGACGAAATAAAAAATGTACACAGACGAGAAAATCATGTCAAAATTAAACTCAAAGAATGTCTGATTAACGGTTGTTTTCATAGTATCGACGAATATTTCAATCGATGAAATGCATTTGATTTCATATATCTTCATATAATTGGTGGTATTAGGAAAGGTTGCAAACTGAATATTCTGTGTACTGTGGTTCTGTTATATTTTCATGTATCTGTATACAGGGTGTCCCATAAACATACCGACAAACTTTAAGGGATGGTAGAGGACATCAAAATAAACATTTTTGCTCGATAAACATAAGTCCGGAAACTCTTCGTTTTCAAGATACAAAAAATGATTAAAAGTCATTAATAATAGTTAATGATTAGTAAAAAAAAAGTTATTGGAAGTTTTATTAGTTTCTCAATATTTCAATTAACGCATTGGTAAAATGTAAGGTATAATTTTGAAGCATTTAATTTTTTTTTTCATAGATGTAAGAGATATGTTTTTTTTTCTTCAAAACGAAGGTAGATACGGAAAAATTTCAAGGGACAAAAAAGTTGCATTTCTAGTTGTTCATTTAAAAAAAATTATCATAATAACAAAAAATCTACTGGGCGATATTTTTTTTGCGCAAAAACTATCCGACATAGCCCGTGGGCACGCCCCTGAAATCATTGGGCAAATTCTAATAGCTCCAAAAGATACCTTATGAATGTATCAATAATCTGTGAAAATTTCATTGAATACGACTAAATCGTTTTTACGATATTAATAAAAAATCGTTTTTTTTTTTAAAATTTAACACCCTGTATCTAGAAAACGAGGAGTTTCCGGACTTATGTTTATCGAGCAAAAATGTTTATTTTGATGTCCTCTACCATCCCTTGAAGTTTGTCGGTATGTTTATGGGACACCCTGTATAAATTGTGTGTGAATTTCAGTCGAAATGCAGCCTGCTCTTGGACTATATGTCAATTGGCTGAAATATATTATTTTTCAGGTCTATGTTCGTCGACATCAATAACATACATAAATCCTGTTCCATGGATTCCAAATGTCGAATTAGCCCAGAAACCTGCATCCCAATAGAACAGCTAAAATTATTGTTTCCCATAGAAAATAAAAACATCGAGATAATATATTCCTCTGCACATTTATCAAAATCAAACCATGCATAATTGAATGTTCATTGTTCATTATCTGCGCCGATTACTAGCACTGCATATATGTACAGGGTGAGTCAGAATAAGACCGACAAATCAGAGATATATGGGGGTCAAAAAATATTATTCTTACAGAAAACGTCTGAAGAAACAAAACTTGGTAAATATACTATTCTAGGCTAATCCATATAATAAATGAATAAATAAATACTGGCTATAATGAGTTGTTGCTCAATTTATTAATAATACTCCAAGTCGCCGTCTCCACCATGTTTAATAAGGGACATGTTTTTTTTTTTTTTTTTTTTTTTTTTTTTTTTATCGCTTGGAGCGCACGAGAGGGAATCCCTATAATGTTCTAAGAACATCGTGCGTTCCTAGGGAGGATAGGGATAGGAGGTAGGGATAGGAGGTAGGTATTGGAATTTTTTTTGAACTTCTGGAGATTATATGTTGTTGGGAATACTTCCTCAGGCAATGAATTCCAGAGCCCAGCCGTTCTATGGATGAAGGAGTTTTGATAAAGTGCTGTTCGGCATCTTTCGAGGTTGACAACGAAGGGGATCTATTCATCATTAGCGAAAAGGAATTATATTCTACAAAATAAAAAAAGCTACAATAAGGTTTCAATGGTTACCTAAACATGATGGTAGTTGTACTCACGTGGAAAAGAAAAAAGTCAATTGGAATCACATAGGAATTGAAATTATATATTAGTATATTATGTAACAAGTGTTATAAACGTCCTTTTAGTAACGAGTATTTTGAGCACGAGCGGAGCAGAGCGGAGCGAGATTTTAATAAACGAGTCTCTAGAAGAGTTTATAAACGCGTTACATACTATGCTTTTTCTACGAACTCCGAAAATTACACTAACATACCTGCTATTCCTGCTAACCTACAAAATAATTCGAAAGGAATGGGAATTGTGAACATAAAACATGCAACTGCATGCAACCAGCGAGACGCACGTATAAGTGATATTGGTTGTAAATGTGTCCAGTCCATTGCTTACTAACCTTTGTTTCACGTTTATTGTCATGCTTAGAGCAGAATAAATGAATTGTTCTCAGAGATGGATGCTTCATTTTTACACTTCTTGGAGATATGCAAGTACCTACCAGAACATTCTCTTCGATTTCACTTTCGTCTAAATGTCGCATATATTTTTAATAAAGAATTCTGATACAAACGAAAATTGTTTGAATAATTCTGATACAAAATTTGAAAATAACAGTTTTGAGAGTTAACACAATTGACAGGCCAGACATCTCTCAATGGTAATGTGTTCAAGAAATCGTGTTGCCATGGTAACGTGTTTAATATTTTGAATAAATCACAGATCGTGAATCCGTGATTAATCGATCATTTAGCGTATTACATATCCGTACGCTGAATGCCATTTTAGTTATGTGAGTATAAAGTAGTTAAAGTAAAAACAAAATTAATTTACAGGTTTTCTAAACATGGTCCTGTGCCCCAGTAGGCAAGTAGAAAACCTGTCATACAAGTATATTTTGAATTTCCATTGAATATAATGTTGTAATTTCAATTCCTATGTGGTTTCAATTGACTTCTCTTCTACACGTGAGTACTATGTACCATGTTTTACCATTGAACCCTCCGATCAACGAAATTGAACACCTATTGTTGCTTTGTTCCATGTAGAATGATTTCTATCGGCTGATGATGGATACGCTATAGATACGAAACACTTATAATTTGATGATATCGAACGTTGTGGAGACGATTATTACTATATGAACTAACCCCACCCCACTTTGAGACAACATATTATGGTGAAAGGTGATGAGCGCAAGCAGTATGAACATATGAGGATGGATGAATGGTCATTAGTTTAGGAGATAATAAAAATTGTTAAAAACTCTAAAGACTTGTCCTATATCATAATTGTATGATCTTCTTGGATGAATAAAGGTATTCTATTCTATTCTATTCTATGGACTTCTACATTGGATTTATTCGTGGCTTATATACCTGAATTTTGAAGTTTTCGCAATATTAAAAAACTGAGGGTATAGGTCCTACATTAGAAAGTGATGAATTGGTGAGTAGACATGGACTTCGTACATCAAGTTATCAGAATATTTTTCAACATCATTCAGGCATCTCAGACATAATGCATTTTCGGACACACATTGATAGACTTTTCAACTCAAAATAAAGGGGAGCTGAAAATGAAGTTTGTCAATCTCATTCTGACTCACCCTGTATCGAGATTATTTCAAATATTTGGGAAAGTTCGTTTTCCAAAAGATAGACGGAATACGTGCCTCCACCAAAGTTTAATAGCTATATATATACACTCAGTTCCAAAAAAAGTGACGCACTTGATATTTGACCTATATCTTCTTAAAGAAAAAAAGAAATAGTAGGCCGATTTTCCTTTTTTTGTTGGTAGGTAATACATTTGTCTTTGAAAAAAAATAAAGAGGTGAAAATTTTTCAAAGCCTCCTTGATGGTACTGGAATAACTCGAACCATGATTTATTCTTAATTTTTGACTCACCCTGTGTGTTGATTGAGTAATGGTATACAAAGTGCTTGCACCCTATACGAAAGAGGCTTCTTTTTGCGAGCATTTTGTTTTTTTATTCATTGATTTATCTCTAAAATTTTCCGAATTATAGCTTTTTTGCTGATACCTTACGCTTATAGGTATCCCACAAATTAAATTTATTGAAGGATCAGAGTAATCAGAATTGATTGGGTTGTACTCTGGTAGGATCACATTGTCTTCAAAAAAACAAATGCCGTTGCCATAGCAACTAATTTGTTGTATGCCTCCATATTTGACCATTTGTCGTTGTGTCATTAATTAAGTGTCTTGTTTTATTGACTAAAATTACATAAAATGCCTCAAATAAATCCTGAACAAGTAGCAAGATTAGTTGCGTTAGTAAACGATGGGTGTAGTAAACGTTACGCCGCTCGTGCAGTGGGAGTTCATGAAGCAACTGCTCGTAGAGCAATCCGCAAGTACGAACAAACAGGAAGCACCGCTCGGAGGGTCGGTTCTGGTCGCCCCCGAAAAACTTCTCCAAGAGATGATCGCTTCTTGAGATTGCGGATTTTACGGAATCCTTCAAATACTGCGGTAAATGTTCACCAAGATCTTCCCCAAATTCGTGATGTTGCAGTATGAGTAAGCAGACGGTATGTAGATGTCTAAAAGAAGTTAATTTAAAAGCTAGGAGACCTGCAGAAGGTCCCAAATTATTGCCCGAACATCGTGCTGCTAGAAGAAATTTTGTTGAAAATTATGGACAGTGGAATATTCCTGAATGGTCGAATGTCTTGTTTACGGATGAGTCAAGGTTTTGTCTTAACATGGTAGATGGAAGAAAAAGAGTGTGGAGAAGAACTGGTGAACGGTTTAATCAAAATTTGATAACAGAATGCGAAAGTTTTAATGGTGGGTCCGTTATGGTGTGGGGGAAGGATTTCAATGAATGGAAAGACACCCTTTCCTGTTTTTCCGGTGAGGCAGTCGATGAATGCCCAAATTTACATTGACATTTCAAAGCAGTATGTCTTACCTTATGCAGAGTTAGTGGGCAATAATTTTATATTGATGCAGGATAATGCCCGACCACACACCGCAGCAATAGTCCGAAACTTCTTAGAAGCTACTGGTATTACCACATTACAATGGCCTGCGAGAAGCTCCGATATGAATCCTATAGAACATTTGTGGGATGAATTAGGGAGAAGGGTACGTTCTCGCGAGAGGTCTCCGGAAAGTCTCGCAGAAATGGCAAATGCATTAGTGGAAGAATGGGATCGTATACCAATGGAAACGATAAGCAACTTAATTTCCAGTATACCTCGTAGATTAGAAGTTCTTAGAGTTGCTAAAAGAGGTAATACACGGTATTGAGCAGTCATCCCAATTTATAATTTTGTGTTTAATAAAAGAGTTTTTTAAAATTATTGGTTTCAGTTTATTTCATTAGAAAATTGTTTCTCGATAAATTCAGAAAGTTGGTAATCTGCAAGGATTCAGCAAAAAAAGCTGTAATTCGGAAAATTTTAGAGATAAATCAATGAATAAAAAAACAAAATGCCCGCAAAAGAAGCTTCTTTCGTATAGGATGTGAGCACTTTCAATGCCATTACTCAATGAACACACAGGGTGAGTCAAAAATTGAGAATAAATCATGGTTGAGTTATTCCACCACCACCAAGGAGGCTTTGAAAAAATGTTCACCTCTTCATTTTTTTTAAGACAAATACATTACCTACCAAACAAATGAAAAAAAATAAAAATCGGCCTACTATTTTTTTTTCTTTTCAAGGAGATAGGCCAAATATCAAGTGCGTCACTTTTTTTGGAACTGAGTGTATATCAATGGAGCTATAGGGAGCAAGGGTTATCCATTTCCTAACCGCTTAAACACACCATGGGAGGAAATGAACCTTTGCTCCCAAGATATATAATATATGACTTTATCCACGAACGCATATATATATATATATATATATATATATATATATATATATATATATATTTGAGAGCGTCGTGCTTAAAATTGTGCTTCAAGCGGTCTATCTCTCGAGTCTCGATCCAAATTAGTATCTGTTACATAATCTAAGGTTTCAGAATATAATCTGTACGAAAATTACTTCTGTCACATTGAATTTGTTTATTGTTTAATTGCATTTTATTCAAAGTTTCGATTGAGTAAGTTCCAACCTTGAGAGGGTTATTGCTTCTGATATACATTTCAATTTTCTCTAGTTTCTTCGGAAACAGGGCTTTCAAATGAAAAACATTTCATTCACTTTGTATATTGTATTGCATTCTTGGAATAGGTAGCGCACTAATCTAGCCCGAATATTTTTCAACATGAATTGTTGGAAAATAGCACATTTTGAACTCCAATGGTGTATATCGGGTATCAATAAAATCCGTATTACATTCAAAAGTGTATAGCCGACAAACGAGTCCAGAGACCTATGCTAATATTTATGACAATATCTCTGAATCCTCGAATCGTAAATTATATCAAAAATTCAAGAAAATTAACCGATTCTTTTTCAAAATACAGGGTATTCATTGAAAAAAAAAAACGCATTTTTTGAAGAAACTTGGACTGTATTATTTTACTCACCCTATATATATGAACTGAGTATGCGACGATCTCAACATTAAAGTAGGTCTGATATATACAGGGTGTTTCATGAGAAGACTCACATAGCCAAATGGTTAATAGGGGAAATCAAGACGAGTTGATGTAAATATATGAAATCATTTTTTGACCCCCCATAACGAAGATACCTACAGGGTATTATGTGAAATTGCTATATAACTTTGATGGTCGATATTACAGAAATGATTCGTCGTAATCTGCTGAAATTTGGCAGCGACGTATCTCTACTGAAACTATTCAAGATAACATATTATGAAAAAATATCCAGGTCCGGACTTGGTAAAATTTTATATTCCATTGTTATGTCAAAAAGATTCACTTTGTGACCACTTTTCTCAAGAAATTCCAGTAGATTCAGAAAGATCAGACAAAACGCTATAAGAAATGCTCTCCAATTTACACGGCACACTTTGACCGGTTCAACAAAAAAATATGGAACAAAAACGTTCGAATGAATTTTCAATTTCGACCTGGCTGATAACTCTCAACTTTTAACTGGATTCGTGTAAATTGATTTTTTGTACATTTTTATTGTATAGAAATTGACAGGAGAGATTAGTACTGATTCTTTTATGATTTGGCATGTTAGTTTTTGACCGAACTTCTAGATAGATATGATTACTAGTGACTCTATTTTATAAATTTATTATAAAGTGGGCCCTGTTTTTATTTCATGTAACATGACGTTTGTTGATAGGTAAACACTGGTAATCGAAATATTCTTACACTCTAGGTGCCACTTCATATTCCAAATGCTGAACAAGACGCAAATCCAAATGCTATGCTTTGTTTGATACCATAGAATATTCCCAGACCCAAGAATGCGTTGCAGTAAAACCTTCACGATGATGAACATTAGGAATTTTGAATAAATAGCAAATGCATATCCTTATATCACTTGCAGAAGTGTATCAATAACAAAAAATGGAGCTAAGTTTATGCGTGATGGCATAACTAATTTGATGAATCCTCATGTCGTAATTTCATCAGTTGGTACCTACCTAGTACTAGCCTAGTACCTAGTAGCCTATCAGTTCGGATTATCAACAAACGTCACGTCTCGTCACACAAATGAAAAACCGGACCTACTCGATATCTCACTTTAAGCGACACACATAAAACAAAGTCAGGAATAATAATATCTATCTGGAATTTCAATAGAAAATATCGTTTTTTCTTCCCGTCTATCTTTCTGTCAAATAATATTCAACAAAAATGTAGAAAAAATCAATTCACATCATACCAGTTGAAAGTTGACAGTTATCAGCCAGGTCGAAATTTAAAATTCATTCGAACGATGTTGTTCCATATCATTTTATTGAACTGGACCAAGTGTGCCGTGTAAATTGAAGAGCAATTCTCATAGAATTTTGTCTGATATTTCTGAATCTGATAAATTTTTTTGAGAAAAGTGGTCACAAAGTGAACTTTTTTGACATAACAATAAAACATGAAATTTTCCGGGCCTGGATTTTTTTTTCATAGTATGTCATCTCGAATAGTTTCAGTACGATACGTCGCTGCCAAATTTCAGTAGATTACGACGAATCATTTCTGTACTATCGACGATCAAAGTTATATAGCAATTTCACATAATACCCTGTATCTTCGTTATGGAGGGTCAAAAAATGTTTTCATATATACATATACATCAACGTCTTGATTTCCCCTATCAACCATTCGGCTATGTGAGGCTGCTCATGAAACACCCTGTATATGACATGCTCTCCCCTTTCCAATTAAAAAAACTAGGGATTGACGTACCCCTCTTTTCGAACCACCCTGTATATAAAAAAATTTCAGAAAACTTCGACCGAGATTGGGGAAGTTCGTCCAGGCTTCAATTGGACCTTTAATTCTCATGAAAGAACTTACCCTGGTTGGTTTAAAATTAATCGAATTGGATTTTTCTTTGTTCACCCTGTTGTAGAGCCCAAAACGTAAAATTATAATGGATACGAGATCCAGATGACATTGTTCCATCATTCAGGCATGTTATTCCATGAATAAATGGGCGTTTTGTCAATTCTCGGAGTTGTTAAAAATTCTGAGCAGAAAGCTTCACTTTTCATCTTTGACACCCTGTATCTCGAAAAATAGTCACCCGATTTCTTTGTGCCCATGGACACTTTTGCTTAGGAAGTCAAAATCTACATCATACCAAAAATTCAGGGAATTTAACCGAAAGCCATTTTTCATAAGGAAAGTGCGAGGTCCTTTCTTTGGGTATTATTGAGATTGTTAGATTCAAAGTTTTGGCGAACACGCCGGGACACATCTAGATTTTGTATTATACAGTGTGTCCCACTTACCATGCCCACCATCCACCATGGGTATCTTTTTAACGGTGAGAGATACGAGTAGGTCGGTTAAATGACACCAAATATGTGGAGTTGGTATAAATTTCATATTTTTTTCGAAATCACTTTGAAAAACTGCCGTGAGAATGTGAAATTCCTATTTGAATATTTTCATAAATAAAGAAGTTACAGAGGAGACATGAAAATGAACAAAATCTGTTTTTTGCATATAAAACAAAAACGAATAGATTTTATCAAAATACTTTTCCACATTATAGTTGGCCTTGACAAACTCCACATTTGGTGTCATTTAACCGACCTAGTATCTCTCACCGTTAAAAAGATACCCATGGTGAGCATGGTAAGTGGGACACACTGTATACCCCAAATGAACAAAAATAATATTTTGAGCACATAATATGAGTAGTAGAAATCGTCTGTGCATGAATAAAAAGTACATCGTTGAATACACATCTTGATGCTCTTCTCAGATATGACCAAAAAATTGAGAAATTCAAATGTATAGGGTGTGTTGTTTTTGGACAGAAAGAATTGGTGAATTTTAAGTGAAGCCGGACATGGATTCTATCTTTTGTTGATGCCTCAATCAACTCCACAGGATAGATTGAGTAAGTGTACCAATTTACAAAAATATATACAGGTTTGTTGGAAAGTTATGAGACAATAAAGATATGGGCAAAATTGATGCAACATTCTGTATCTCGGTTATAAGATGTAGATGATATAACCATGAGTTTTTTAAAATCACCTCAGTGACCCCTATCCACAGTTGAGTTATTTACCTTTCCCAATGAAACATCCTGTACTATTATCTGTTGTGGCAGAGATTACACATAGCATGACATCATGCTTTCGTCTGGAAAGAATGGTACCCATGGGTTTTGAACAGATTTAAATCTTAAATTCAGTTCAGGACTGGGTTTAAACCAAATTGAATAAAGAGATAGAGGATATGAAAAATATAGAATACCTTAAATTTCAATACCTCTGTCATTATTCAATGTCATTTTGAAGAACATGTGATAAATCTATAACACAATGATAATTTTTTTTGTTAGGAGTTGTAACTTTCTTTCCAGAGTCTGTGGAAATATATTAGGAAAAGGAATGATAGAATCTTCAACATATTTCTCAACAAAAAAAGTTTTGACACCTTTTTATTTGGTTATTTCTAGTACAAAGATTCTGTAGCATTAGAGGTTCTAGGTTTCTTAATTTTATCAAGATTCTTGAGGACAATATCATGCAAAGCACAATATCTGTTGCGAATTTCTGACATGACCAACCAGAGGCTTAAGTACTCTTTCTCATCTAGTTCTTGGACAGCTCTCCTATAATCATCAATGTGGGGGTACTTTGCCACTTTTGATATCAACTTGCCTGAAATGCAATAAAAATATAAAACTTATGGTTGTTATTTAGTTCAGGCACAACTTTTCAACAACTGATATATTCAATGTTCTGTTCTTACCTCTTGAGATAAAATACCTGGAAATCTGATCAAAGAAGGCAGCTGCTTCTGACTCCACAGACTGTACTTCAGCTAGAGTATCTTCTTGAATAGAAACTCCGAAATTATTACCATCTTCAATTTTGGGAATCATGAAGGAAATCCACATTTTCATCTACAAGAATAACATGAAATGCAACTTGATCATTTTATAATAGTAAATTGTTCATACCAAATTGGAATCTTCCACAAGCTTTCTAATATGTGGTTTGACAAGCTCTATCAAATCCACTAAATGTTTATTTGTGGCTACAGAACCACCAGGAAGGATCATAACCCGTGAACCATCCTCAGATATACTGGAAGATATGCTATTGTCAAGTTTCAATTTCTTAGATGGAGGCAAATCAGTGTGGCTATTGAGAATTATGGGATTGGGCACTGCTATATTCAAATCCTGATGGACCTCAGAGAATTTGCGATTCTTGAATTGAGGTGTTTCAAGAATATTATTCAAGCTAACAATAGTCTCTGGGAAACCTTTTAGCAATAGATGTTCAGCCTGTTTCTTCACTTCTTCTTTGTACTCTTGAACCTGAAAATGGTGGAAGTAATCAAAATTAATGAATGAGACCCATCATAGTTGATGATTAGAGCTCAGGAATATATATTATTCAGAAGATGACACCTTTTTTGTCTGAGAGAACTGTGAGGAATTCACTTGGTTAGTGGTAGGAGCACCCAGTGAGTTGTTGGATCTTATCATGATGAATTATTGAATAAAATAATAGGAATTCTCATCAATTTTATGTCATTACTCATTGGACAGTTGTTCTTGTCAGTACATAACATGATTCATATCTTGTATGCTGGTACCTCTGGTAAATGTAAGATTCAACATACCACCACCCAAGGAACTGAATTAATTCGATTACAAATTCAAATGTTACATACCTTCGCAGAACAGGCCATGATAAATTTGAAGAAAAACAACCAGAACTACAAAAACTTTTCGGAAGTTAATACAGCAAACACAAGCAAACACAGTAAAACCTAACCTAAGAAATTGAAAAAATTCCTAAATGAGAGAATGTGGTAAGTAAACTTTAAACTGCTAGTGGTGAAGAAAGAGAGATTCTTATTTGACAAATGGCCAGGCGTGAAGTAACTTTTGGAGCTCTGGGCGTAGCAGCACTGTATGTTGCTAACTTCAAGATTGTTAAGGTGTATTCACATTTACAAGTCACAAGAAGCTGCTAGCGACACGGATTCCACTTTGCTTTGAGAATTCCGAACATTGAAAATATTCGGCCGATCCTGCCGAGACCTTCGTTCACGGTTGAACATGACAAAAAAATCATTGAAATAGCGAATCACTATTCGCCTCAACAGTAAATGCCTCCACAGTACTTTTTCGAAAGACTAGGGAGGAAAGAAAATAAAGCAAAAAATGTTTGCAAAATGTTTCCTACATGTTTGTTATCTTTACAAATGGGTTCCATAATGAAACAAATAATACTATTCCGGTCCATATTCATAATATTTTCCACGTTGAATTTGAAGAAACGCCTTTCTTGGTACATATTTCAAACCTTGAGAATGAAATTTTTTTTATATGCTTCGAGAATCGAAACTTATTAATTCGGTCACTGACACACTAGTTCTATGGAACATGAAACGACTACCGCTATTTTCATGGTAGTCATACACGAAACAGTAACTAAAAGGTAACTGATAACACATCGTGCTCATAACACCTAAGATTTGACCTAAGATTTGACATAAGATAAGATGTAAGACGGTACAGTGGGTACAGTGTGGTACAGACACAACATAGATGGTACAGACTAGCAGCAGGTATAGCTAGGTACAAGTATTACCATCTATGAGTTCATTTGGTTTTTCTCCCCTTTTTTCCATTTCTACATTTTTTCAACAGATATTTCCATGATATGGGAAAATTCCCATAGGTTGGTGTGCAGAAAGTCTCAAAGCAAAGTGGAATCCGTGTCGCTAGCCGATTTTTATCTTTGCGTCACTTACAATGATAACGGGAAACGCAACCGCATTGGTCGCAAGTAACCGCAACGATGGCAACAAACAATGCCGCAACGCAACCGACATGAAAAACGCACCGAACTTTCGATGATTTGACGAAATAAGTACATGATAATAGAATAATTTCATATAAGAAGTCATTAGGCACTCGTCGCAGTGCTTATCAACGCACTCTTCGATAGAGAATAAATAATCTGTAAAATCTGAGGCTGAAAAGAAGTACACATGAAGTACAGCAACAACACCAAGTAGCAAGACATCCTAGTCCCTAGCACAGTATACAATACACCCTAAAAATGACAGCATTGGGCCTGCTCTAGTGCTCTATCCATAATACTTAAAAAGGCCTGTTCGTTTGTATTGTTGAACTTGCTGAAGTGTATCTTTTTCCATAGTTGTCTCTGTTCATGGCATGCTGTAAACAGAGAAAGTCATTGAAAAAAATCAAGCTCAGCAGGTAGAGCAAACACAAACAACAGGCCTTTGATTTTTTTATGACTTTTTCTGTTTACACCATGCAATGAACAGAGACAACGATGGGAAGAAAATCAAACAGCTCTATCACGCCTTATCCCACCACTAGTCAAGGTTAGTGGTGGTGAACACTAGTGAACACTTATTCACAAACTTTGTATCACGTGTTGCCTACCTTACAGTATCCACTATCCATAGAAAATCACAAGACTCGTAAGTGGGGACTGGTGGGAGAATGAATAACAAAATTATCATTTATACATTATTAATCTCAAGGTTTATTTCTACATCTGAATGATTCCAGTAGATAATATAATCAGAACAGTGTGTGTTCTTCAAAAACGATTCAACTACTTACGTGGGATCATGGATCTTAGTGGTGAGTGCCAATAAATTCATTGATTGATGAAAATGAATGATGAATGTAATGTTGAATCAATATTTTTTAGGGATGAGAACAAACTATAATGACACACACACCATTCTTCTTGAGAAAGATCTGGAATTCAAGGAGCCTCTGGCCTTGTTTGATAAATGGTTCAAAATAATCAAAAATGATCCAAGAACAGTTGAGCCAAATGCTATGTGTTTATCAACAGCTACCAAGTAATGCAATAATCCTCATAGAATTCAGAAAATCAATACAGGGTGTCTCAAATTTGAATTTCAACAGAGAAATAATTAATGCTGTCGTGATATTGAATTTTCGGCATAAAGTTTCGGGACACTGCAAACACCCATATATTTATTCAAAACAAAATTATGTCATTGATACTAATGATAAGTTAGGTCATATTTATGAAAGAAATTGTAATGATCGCAATATGAAATATATCGGGCAATCACGCCAACGCATAGACACAAGATTCAAAGAACATATTGCTCACTTCAGATTTAATGAATAATACACCACAGTATCCAAAAGTTAACTTCATCAAGTATGGTTAATTTTACAGAGATGGAATACCTTCAGGAAGAAATATTTTATTAAAAGGATACAGCAAAGATGGCTTTATTTTTTTCACTCATTATACCAGCAGAAAAGGACATGAATTAGTAAGTATAAATGACATATATGTATACCTATAAAATTCCATTCATTTAAGGAAGAAAATCCACATGCAGCCTTGACATTCTATTGGGAACACTATAGCAGATCTGTATGAAAAACATCATATATAAGACCTTCATTATTGATAATTCTGTGTTTTCATTAGGTGAGAATTGAAGGTACTGTAGAGAAACTTCCTTTTTCGCATGCTGACGCGTATTTCAACAAAAGACCCTACCAAAGTCAAATTGGAGCTGTTTGTAGTGATCAAAGTAAACCAGTTGAGGGAAGGCATATTTTGGAAAATAAAAGAGTGGAACTGATGAGCCAATATGGAGAAGGACAGGTGCCAAGACCACCATTATGGTATATTATTTCAACCTGACAAAATTGTGAATTTCAATTTTCTCCAAACAAAATGATATTTCCATGCTATTGTTGAAGAATGTTGACAAAGATATGGCTACAAATGGAATTTCCTTTCATAATTTTCAAAGAGATAGTTGTAGAGATAAATGCAAAGTTTTTGAATGTTTGAAACTTTATGATGATGTTTCCACATTTAATTCAATAGTATTTTATTATTGATCTTTTGTAATTGATGATATCAATTTGCAATTATTTGTAGGGGAGGTTATTCATTGAAGCCCAATGCCATCGAGTTTTGGCAAGGACAAACAGACAGAATCCATGATAGAATAAAATTCCGTAGACCTAAGACTAATGAACCTGATGGAGTATTAACACACCAGGCTGATGATGGTTGGATATATGAAAGACTAAACCCATAAAAAAAGATTTATTTAGGTTGAAAGTCTTTCCAATTCCAAATTAGATAAATTCTATTTTTATAATTTCCCTGCTTACTCCTTCTTCACATTTCCAACATGTAGTGTATTTGAATACCTTCTGTTCATCCAGAAAATCCTGGAATAAAGTTATTCCACCACCTACTCCAAAATAAAATGACTTTGCAGCTAAATATCTATAGTAAATGTCAAGGAACATAAACAATAAAGGAAACCAAATACAATTTATTTCATTTTGTTGATTATATTGAAAAAGATACATGTAACCACTCTTTTTCAGCAGTTTTTCAAATACTCTATGTAATTTTGGGTAGCATTCTGTGTTGTATATTGTTTCAGAAGTAAAGATGTAATCAAATTTATCTTCTGGTGTTGTCAGAGCTTTTTCAACCAAATCACTAAATGACCTCCAGTCACCAGAATAAAATTTACATTTCTCCATTCCACTTACAGAGTTTAATAAAACATTTGGGATTGTTATGTACTGTATCACATCAGAGTTCTAGAAAATGATTAAAACATGATGAAGCAATGAAAACAGAATATATTTTACTTACATAATCCTGAAAATAACATTTGGCACCACATAACAATGTTGTTATTCCAATAATACCAGCACCACATCCCAGATCAAGCACATTCACTTCTTTGAAATTAATTTTTTGTTCATCAATATAGTTCAACAAGTCATAAGTACATTCCCAAATTTTAAAACCTCCTATACTTGGAATAATAAAATATAAATTATTGAATTAAATGGTGGATTGATGAACTTAACTAAACCAGGATTTAACAATTAAATTAAGAAACTTTGGAAGGGGATTGGTATATTCATAATGATCAACAAATCAGCATCATTAATCTTGGATGCTCAGTTCTTAGTTTTGGTTGAGTTTATTAATCCACCATAAACCATATTAAACAATATTACCTTCATAGACAGCAGGCAATAAATCCGAATGATTCTTTTCAGATTTGAGAACTGAATCATCCAGAGACTGTTCATTTTTCAACAATGTATTAATTACTGCCTTTGAACATAGGTATTTGACTTCATAACCACTTGATACCACAATTTTGGTATTGATTTGACCTAATCCGTTTTTAATAGGGTTACTGTCAGTGTGAATTATTATTTCATTACTTTCTTTCCATATCATTTCGGGTAGCTCCTTTGCAATTTCTGAAAAAAAAAAGATCAGTGGATTTGTGACAGTGGGGTTGAGGTTGAGTTTAGGCCTATAGGTCGCGTGCACGAAGACCGACCCTGGAGGCAAAATATTGAAACACAACCTCATTCTTCTGTGAATTATTGAAACACAACCTCACTTTTTTATTTGGTTACAGGGGAGTCAAAAGGTTGAAATAGTTTTTCACAATATTTTGGCATACGAATCGTGTTTCTTGCGTTATTCATCAATTCAAGCATGCCTTCGCATTGTGCTGTTGTACAATGCACAAAAAATGCAGCAAGAGACTAGGGCATATGATTTTTCAGGTAAATAGTAATCTCACATAGTTAGCATTATGAAATGTTGTCATTCCTTATTAAAATTCCTTCTGCCTTCTGCCACTTCTGCAATACAAGCTAATGCTGCTAATAGATTGAAAATGTCTACAACACACACGATCGTCAGCATGTCAGACCAGTCCTACCGATTGATTGCATGAATCCATTCATGAATCCAATCTTCTTGCATTATTCTAGAAATTTCAGGTATATTTCTATTAGCTGATCCTATTGCAGAAGGAATTCCGATGAGAAATCGGAGAAATAACCAAATTTCAAAAATGAAAACTATGTGAGTGACTATAGTAGGTACTTACTTTTGAATCATAATGTACCATCCGGATTTCTTCATCTTCCGCTGCAGTTTTTGTGCATTTTACAACAGCACAATGTGATGGTATTAGCGAATTGAATAATAGCGGAAAAATACGATTCATATGCCAAAATAATTGTGGAAAACTATTTCGATCACTTGTAAACAAATATGTTTTGCCTCCAGGGTCGGTCATCTGTCAGTTCTTGCACGCGACCTATTATGAGATCTCGGAGTACACCTTTGCACCTACCTTCACTGTTTTCGTCATTGTCGGAGGAAAACCCGAATTTGAACATAATTTTGCACGATTTTTCAGTAAAAGATTATTCACCATTCACCATTATCAAGAAATAAAAACAATAAACAGATGTGAACATAGGGTATGGGTTAATTTAATGCGTGTTATAACTACGTCAGTCGTAAAACACGTAAGTCCATAAGCACCGGTGTGAAGCTGGCTGCCCAAGCTGGCTGCTAAAATTTCCGAACTTACCCGACAGACAATACCGGTGGCGGGCGGTCATTTTATTCAATAAAAATGTCATTTTACTAAAATGAATCAATTTACATGAAAGCTTCATGATCTGATTACTCAAATTGAATAGAATTGTTGACTTCACACTGATTGAAATGTTATTCTCCAGAAAGACTCACCTGCTCAGCCCGAAAAAAAATCTTTCTCGATCATCTTCATTCCATATAATCAGATTTAATATTTTGATCAAACCACATTGAAAATTCCAGAGATCATTATACTGTAAATGATATGACAACATTAAAAATTTATATAATTCCTTATGGAATGAAGAAAAACTCGAGCTCAATTTAAATTTTCGGAGATTGTACTAAGAATTCTACTACATTCATTAAATCTTGGAAAATCGGAAACTATCATTTTTACTCGATTTTCGGAAAAAAATCGTTCTCTCCGAAACGCACCAGACTGTCAAACTGAAACTAGCGCAGAAGACTTCTACTACATCCATAAAATCTCATTCTTTGAGAGAATCCACTTGCTCAGCCTGCGGAAAACGGAAAAATATCATTTTCATTCGATTTCCGGAAGAAAAATCGTTGTCACCGAAACGCACCAGACTGTCAAACTGAAACTAGCGCAGAAATCTTCTACTACATCCATAGAATCTCATTCTTCAAGAAAATCCACTTGCTCAGCATGCGGAAAATGGAAAAATATCATTTTCATTCGATTTTCGTAAGAAAAATCGTTTTTCCCGAAACGCACCGGACTGTCAAAGTGTTACTAGCGCAGAAATTTCCTATACTACATCCATAGAATCTCATTCTTCGAGAAAATCCGCTTGCTCAGCCTGCGGAAAATGGAAAAATATCATTTCCATTCGATATTTTCGTAAGAAAAATCGTTTTCCCCGAAATGCACCAGACTGTCAGACTGAGACTAGCGCAGAAATCTTCTACTACATCCATCACATTCTTCAAGAAAATCCACTTGCTCAGCCTGCGGAAAATGGAAAACTAGCATTTTCACTCGATTTTTAGAAAAAAAAATCATGGTAATGTAGGAAACTGAAAAAAGTGACACTTCGCAATTTGTCATCAATGCGCGAACCTTGTCATTTTTTGGCGTTTGTAGAAAAATAACTATATTTCTAGATTTTCTTGAATATAGATATTTCAAAATCCTTTATATGTATATATTACTGTTCCTATATTCGTAGGGCAATTTACTATCGTGTGAATGTGCATAAAAAACATGTTATATCAATTCAATGAACTCACAGCAGGGAGATAGGTGAAACATTTTGGGAGTACGACACTGACCACATTGTGATATTTTAATGAATGACAGAATTAATTATCTGAATTTTTTTATAACTGCAGTTTTTTATAATTTTTCGTGCTCTTCGAGACATCTAGCATATTTAATTTTGGTGGTTCTCCATACTTGTTCATGATGTGTGAAAATTATGATGTTTTGTAAGTTTCTATACCTACCTCATTTGTGTTGAGTAATATTGACCACAATAATCATGTATATGAACTGCTTCAGCATATGATAAGGTTGTTGATGGTCATCTTCAAATTGATATTATTTTTTCTAAAAACAGTATTTTGCGAGAAAAAAAGAATGACATTTGGAATCGACGTTGTTCTGGGACACCATGTATATTTCACATACTTTGAAAAAACATCACTTAAAAACTGTAACAGAGTCCAAACATACATTCAAACAGATACCATACCTACACGGATCATGGATGCTTCACGAATATCACGATGTGTGAAAGCATGATATACACTCAGTTCCAAAAAAGTGACGCAATTGATATTTGACCTATTTTCTTAAAAAAAAAAGAAAAAAGTAGTAGGCCAATTTTTTTTTTATTTGTTGGTAGGTAATGTTTTTGATGGTGGTGGAATAACTCGAACCATGATTTATTCTTAATTTTTTACTCATCCTGTGTGTTAATTGAGTAATATGGTATACAAAGTGCTTACACCCTATACGAAAGAGGCTTCTTTTGCGAGCATTTTGTTTCTTCATTCATTGATTTATCTCTAAAATTCTCCGAATCATAGCTTTTTTGCTGATACCTTACGCTCATCCCACAAATTAAATTCATTGAAGGATCAGAGTACTCAAAATTGTTTTCTAAAAAAAATTTGTTGAATGCCTCCATATTTGACCATTTGTCGTTGTGTCATTAACTGAACAAGTAGCAAGATTAGTTGCGTTAGTATACGATAGGCGTAGTAAACGTTACGCCGCTCGTGCAGTGGGATTTCATGAAGCAACTGCTCGCAGAGCAATCCGCAAGTACGAACAAACAGGAAGCACCGCTCGGAGAGTCGGTTCTGGTCGCCCCCGAAAAACTTCTCCAAGAGATGATCGCTTCTTGAGATTGCGGATTTTACGGAATCGATCAAATACTGCGGTAAATCTTCAGCAAGATCTTCGCCAAATTCGTAATGTTGCAGTAAGTAAGCAGACGGTATGTAGACGTCTAAAAGAAGTTAATTTGAAAGCTAGGAGACCTGCAAAAGGTCTCAAATTATTGCCCGAACATCGTGCTGCTAGAAGAAATTTTGTTGAAAATTATGGACAGTGGAATATTCCTGAATGGTCGAATGTCTTGTTTACGGATGAGTCAAGGTTTTGCCTTAACGTGGTGGATGGAAGAAAAAGAGTGTGGAGAAGAACTGGTGAACGGTTTAATCAAAATTTAATAACAGAATGCGAAAGTTTTAATGGTGAGCCCGTTATGGTGTAGGGAGGGATTTCAATGAATGGAAAGACACCCCTTCATGTTTTTCCGGTGAGGCAGTCGATGAATGCCCAAATTTACATTGACATTTTAAAGCAGAATGTCTTACCTAATGCAGAGTTAGTGGGCAATAATTTTATATTGATGCAGGATAATGCCCGACCACACACCGCAGCAATAGTGCGAAACTTCTTAGAGGCTACTGGTATTACCACATTACAATGGCCTGCGAGAAGCCTCGTTATGAATCCTATAGAACATTTGTGGGATGAATTAGGGAGAAGGGTACGTTCTCGCGAGAGGTCTCCGGAAAGTCTCGCAGAAATGGCAGATGCATTAGTGGAAGAATGGGATCGTATACCAATGGAAACGATAAGCAACTCAATTTCCAGTATGCCTCGTAGATTAGAAGTTCTTAGAGTTGCTAGAGGAGGCAATACACGATATTAAGCGGTCATCCCAATTTGAAATTTTGTGTTTAATAAAAATGTTTTTTAAGATTATTGGTATCAGTTTATTTCATTAGAAAATTGTTTCTCGATAAATTCAGAAAGTTGGTAATCTGCAAGGATTCAGCAAAAAAGCTGTTATTCGGAAAATTTTAGAGATAAATCAATGAAAAAAATAAAATGCTCGCAATAGAAGCCTCTTTCGTATAGGGTGCAAGCACTTTCTATGCCATTACTCAATTAACACACAGGGTGAGTCAAAAATTAAGAATAAAAATCATGGTTCGAGTTATTCCACCACCATCAAGGAGGCTTTGAAAACATTTTCACCTCTTCATTTTTTTTTCAGACAATTGCATTACCTATCAACAAATAGAAAAAAAAATCGGCCTACTATTTTTTTTTAAGAAGATATAGGTCAAATATCAAGTGCGTCACTTTTTTTGGAACTGAGTGTATATATATTTAGTTTCAGCACCCCTAACGAGTAGGAAGAAAGTTATTGGATAACATATAGCATCATATTCTATATGAATATTCTTTGGAATATTTTGAAGGAGGTAGGTAGGTATGTTCTGAACGTTATTGTGAGCACATTCATAAAATATTCTGTACTGTCTGGGTGTCTGGATGTGAGCACATGTGAGCACTAACTCCTCTCAGTAGTTATTTAAAAAATCTTGGGTTAGAGCACCGGACAATAGAACCATATGGGCCAGCCAAAGAACATGTTAAATCAAATAATTTCCATTATCAACATCATAATTTATTGAAGTTACCCTCTAAACTGAGATCTCTGAACATCGAATTTTTCTAATCAATGACTTGTTACCAAGGTGTGATAGTCTGATTGGCGATTTTTTGCCTCAGAGTCTCATGCATTTTTTGGCACTCAAAATTTTTACTACTGTAGCATAGTTTTTCTATTCCACAATACCAATAATTGATGCTCAGGATAGCGATTCAAATTTGAAAAAAAAAATGGTTTATTGAAGGAATTCTACTTATTTTTGGACGAATCTGCTCCCATTTTCAACAGAAAAATATGAATTGTGGTGACGTTTACTTAAATAAAACTCATTCAATTCAGAAGACGAAAATTTGAAATTTCCACAATTTGACATAAATATTAGCCAGATCTTTCTATTTTTCTCAAACAGTCTTATACTGGGTGGCCCACGGTCGATGGTACCTTAGACGTATACGGAAAACGGTACCTTGGAATATCCTGAAAATTTGGTTACTCCAATAAGTGTTTGTGATCTAACGATTCAAAATATTTTCAGCAAAGCAGCGTTATTGCCCCTTTTACCAAAAAGTAGCATCATCTTTGTTATTTCAAATAGAACACCCCGTATTTTATTGCGTTTTTAGATTCTTCTCGAAGAGCTGATTTCATCAATGTATCACACTTGGGGTCTAGCAGGAATTATTACAGAGATATAGGGTGTTCAAAATCGAGATTTTCCAACTTTAGGATTTTTTTGTGTCGAAACTATTCATCATTGGTCAAAACGGCTTAGGTACATGTTCCTATATTAACTTTTGATTAACTATCTACCGACATTTGATTGGAAAAAATTCAGGATGGTCCAATAAGATTCAGAATTTTCATCACCCTGTATCTGTTTCAATTAAATGTCAGTAGATAGTGAATCAAAAGTTAAGATAGGGACATGTAAGCCGTTTTGATCGATAATGAATAATTTCGACACAAAAAATTCCTGAAAT